TGCTGTGGCCGTATACTGAAGCTACAAAGATCAGTACAACACTCCAAGTTGGTGGAGTTTTTAATGGCTTTTAATTGCTCTCAGCAGGTTCAGCTGTTTAGTATCTCCCAGGGAATATATGGAGTGCCAAAATAGCTTGTCTGTCAGGAGCACTTCCAATACATTATCTGCACACAATTCCCAGGCAGGCAGAGTCCAACAACACAGCAGCAGGTCCTGGATGTGCATAGCCACTCAAGTCTCCCAGGGTCAGAGTCTGTGGAACAAACGAGACAGCAATAAGGAAGCAAAAATTGGATAATGACAGAGGGGTGGCAAAGGGGTACCTGGAAGCCCATGTCATGGGGTAGAGGGGGCAAATGCCTTGTGTAAGAAGTGAGGGGAGGGAAGCTGTACTGCAGAGGAGGGACTTCTACTCCCACGGCTGCTGGAGGAAGAGTAAACGCTGGCTGCGTCCCCAGGGCAGGCACTAACAGGCTGCTGCTCCTCGCTGCCTTCTCCTCCCTGCTCCAGCTGCTGCAGGACAGGGTGGTGCCAGAGCTGTCTGCCTTGGCAAAGGGGGACTCTCACATCAGGTTGGGCAAGTATTGAGCGAGTTCCTAGGATCATGATCCTTTCTTGGCTCGGGAGGCACTTTCCCATGCAAAAAACCCTTCCTCTGTCCTGCCAGTCCCAACACCTTCCAGATCCTCCTAGTTCTCTTACCATGTCATGTGGTTGAACACTAACAACTTCCCAGCCAGGACGATCATTAATTCTTCACATTAAAGGCATCTACTCACCGATGAATATCTTTGGGCCCATTTGTTGTCTTCCTGAAGAGTCAGTTGCTTGACCAATGCAATAAACTTCTATGATGAAACGGCTGGCTTGGTAGAAGAGAACAGTGGACATTGTCTCCCATAAGATCCTCACAGATAAGCCAATGGAAGTATGGGCTGGGTGAAGAAACAGTGAGATGGACTGAAAACTGGCCGAAGAACTGGGCCCAGAGGCTGGTGATCAGTGGCATAAAGTCTATCTGGAGGCCAGTAACTAGTGGTGTACCCCAAGGGTCAATACTGGGTCTGATCCTGTTTAGCATCTTCATCAATGATCTGGATGATGAGGCAGAGTGTACCCTCAGCAAGATTGCTGATGACACAAAACTGGGATGAGTGCCTGATACATCAGAGGGTTGTGCTGCCATCCTTAACAGGCTGGAGAAATGATCTGACAGGAACCTTGTGAAGTTCAACGAGAAGTGCAAAGTCTGGCACCTGGGAAGGAATAATCCCAGGCACCAGTAAATGCTGGGGACCACCCAGCTGGAAAACAGTTGGGCAGAAAAGGACCTGGGGTCCTGTTGGACACTGAGATGAACATGAACCAGCAATGTGCCCTTGCAGCAAAGGAGGCTAACTGTATCATGAGCTGCCTTAGGACGAGTGTTGCCAGCAGGTTGAGTGAAGTGATCCTTCCCCTCTACCCTGCACTGGTGAGGCCACACCTGGAGTGCTGTGTCCAGTTCTGGGCTTCTCAGTACAAGAGAAACAGGGACATAGTGGAGAGAGTATAGGGAAAGTTCACAAAGATGATGAAGGGACAGAAGCATCTCCTCTATGAGGAAAGGCTGAGAGTGCTGGGACTCTTCATCCTGGAGAAGGCTCAGGGAGGACCTTGTCAATGTCTATAAATACCTGTACGGAAGTTGCAAAGAAGATGGAGCCAGGATCTTTTCAGTGGTGCCCAGCAACAGGACCAGAGGCAACGGTTACACGCAGGAGGTTCCCTCTGAACACCAGGAAACACTTCACTACTGTGAGGGTGACTGAGAACCGGTCCAGCTGCCCAGAGAGGTTGGGGAGTCTCCATCCTTGGAGATAGTCAGAAGCCATCTGGAGATGGCTTGGGCTGCTGGCACCGAGCACGCTGCTTGAGCAGGGGGAGTTGGACCAGATGACCTCCAGAGTCCTTTCCATCCTCAACCATTCTGTGATTCTCTGAAAGCGAAGAAAGTGGTATGTTTGAAAAGGTACACAGGAAGCACCTGTTAATATGCTGATCCCGGGAAAACAGGAGCATGAAGAACATTTCAAACTAGGGGATATCAGGTTGCCAAAGGATCGGTGCCCTAGAAGTTGGGCCGGTGAGAGCAGGCTAGCCAGGGGGCCACAGAGCAGTAGAGGAAAGAGGCAGACAGCCACAGAGGAGGACACACAGGCTGCTTTTGGGTTAGCTGTCATCAAATCACGAACCCTGCACACAGATGGGAGTGGTATAGCTCGGTCCACTCTGGCTCAAGGGGTAGCTTCTTATGGAAGCAGGCTCACCTACTCGTATATCTGACCCTTTTCCACGTTGCCCCAAGCTCCCAAGAGCCCAGAGAAACTTCTAGCAGCTCTCCGCCTCCTTCACCTGTCTGTACCTAACGATGGCTGGAGGCTGGGAGGCGAGATGAACTCGCCTCTCCCCCAGGCAGGGGAACAGGGGCATCCCTAGCCTCCCCCTGGGCCTTGCCCAGAGCAAGCGATGCTCAGCAGGTTGCTGCTTACATCATCCAGCCAGCGGTTGCCACGGTAACCGCGCTTACGGATGAAGGATACAAGGTTCCTGGGGTAACGGGACGACTGCCAACTGCCTGGGTCTTGTCTCTATTGCACGGCAGGAAAGGACAATTGCAGTTTTCTGAAGGTGAGAAAATAAATACCCTTCCCTACACTACACCAAGCTGGGCTTCCCATCCGCTCCGCCCTCCCACGCGCTGCTCCACTCTCCACAGCCCTGTGCTCCCTGGCAACTGCACTGCTTCCTTGAACACCCAACCCAAGAGGAAAAACTGCTTTAGACAAGAAGAAATCAGCTACCCGGGCAGGAGCCATCACTTTTTTTCAGTTTCAACAGCAGATGTGCTCTGCAGCCCCACCAGACCCCCCCCAGAGGGAACCAAGGCCCAACCTCTGTGAGGTTCACAGACCCCTTAGTGTCAGTGGTAGAACAGATGTCCGAAGGGTTTGGATGGAGAACTCACCATCCCTCAGGGACCCTTCCAGACGAGTTTTCTAATAAGATGTGCTCATACTCACCTTCATTACGTGCAGGAGTTATAGTAGCAGAGGGAAATGACACAAAACCAAAGCCTGGCAGACCTGATAGACCCCTATAGTGCTGCTCTCATCCCCATTTGAAGCAAAAGCAGCCCTGTGGCTAGCGGCAGCACTTATCCCTCTGCTTCCATTGCTGGGGAGAAGAAACATTTACAGGACACACGTCACCCCTGCCTGGTGCCCTGAACTACATGGAGAACCAAGGGAAGGCCGGGTGAAGCCTATAAACCTATTTCCCTTCTGCTCCAAGTCCACTTCTGCTTCACAGCACAGCCCTCAGGGAAAGGTGGACCAAATCAAAAGAAGTTACACAGTCTTAAGAGATAGGGATCAGCCATCACCTCTGCTGAGCTCTGTTTTCAGCAGCAGCCACGTGAAAATCTACTCTGCAGGCTCACCATTTGGGATCTAAAGGACGAACTCCAAAGTCCCTTTGGAGAGGGCCCAAACACAGCTGTAACGCTCTGATTAGCTCCTGGTTCCCCTTCTGTTTCCCGGTGTGCCAGCCTGGGAGACCACAGCCTCCAGCCCCCCCGTCTGCTGGCTGGGGAGCCGGAAAGGACAGAGCAAACGAGACAGAGAGCACGAGAAGCCTTCAGCCTCAAAGCACCCTAGAAAAAAAAGGGCCCTCTCCTGGGGATGCTCTTGCTGCGCACCACCTCTTCTGTACACGCACAGGTAAACTTTGTCCTTGCAATTTGCAGCCATACTGAGCATTCCCAGCTGTGGCCCCAACAGCCCTCCCAGTTTCAGCCCGATACAAGAATAGAGTGCTCTGAAAAATAAACCGGGGTCTGGGTATCTCCAGTTAGGCAGCTGGAGTTAGCAGGCGCGTTGGGCCTCCATCTTGCTCTGCTTGAGGATACAAGTGTTTGTCAGATGCTCATTAAGGGGGTTCCACTCCTCTGGTTGTCTAGTTGGAGACAAGACAGACAAAAGGGAGAGACAGATACATACAGAGGGGGCTAATAAAGATGATGGGCAGTCTTCAGAGATTTCTTTGGATTTTCTTTTACTCTGAAGGGCTGTTTCCTGTTATTTTGGAGGAGTGTGGGGGGAAAGACACTTAGCACCTGAAATTATCCTAGGGCCAGTAAGTTGCATCAAATTCTGCCACATGAGCTGACACAGCACTAACTTACACTGAGATCAGTTATTGATGCTTGGTTACCATCAACAGCTGCTAAAGGGTTCAGACAGACCAAGGGAAGGGTTTGGCTCCTGCATGAGGGAGAAAGGCAAAGTACATTGAAGCGATTTGAAACTCTTCTTACCCAATTTGTTTTCTCCCTCCTCCTGGCTGGGACCACAGCCAAACCCAGGGAAAGGATGCAGGGCATGGCAAGGTACGGTCCGGTGAAGGTCACCTCCACGGGTATGGTGACATGCACCTCCCCTTCACTCAGAGCTTAGCGTAGTTGAGAAGGGTCACAGCAAAACCTTACCTGGGCAGTTCTCAACCCTCTGCAAGCTACAGGTGGGTGACGGAGATGGCACCTCACCCCGGCCCGAGCAGAGCTGGACACCGCCGCACAGGGGCCGTACGGATCGCTGGGGTTCACCTGGCTAGCAGCAGGCAGACTTTGGGTGCATCACAAGGAGCCACTGTTCCCCAGCAAGGAGTCATGTGAAATGCAAAGGCAGCTGGCAAAGATTGCATTGCTCCAGTCTGCCTGGCTGGACCCCACACCTCTGCCATAGCCCCACCAGCCACCTCCCTCCTTGACTCCAGTTCTGAGATCCCAGTAAGAGACAGCAGCAAACAGCAGCTCAAAGAGACTGTCCAGCCCTCTTGTCTACCCAGCAGCACCCCCTTGAGTGAGGAAAGGTCTTGCTATGTCCTCATCTTTGAGGGCTCAAAGATACCTAGGCCGTTTTCATCTTGATGGAACCACAAGTGAAAAAAGGAGGCCATTTCCAGCCTACGCTCACACTTTATTATATAGAGACACGGTGAGTGTAAGAACATCAACATGGGACATGGACAGTAAGGGAGGCCCAAAGGCACTGCCTCCTGTCCCCTTGGTGCAACCAGTCAGCATAGTTTATACAAATAATACAATATTTTAACAATAAATAAGTTTGATAAATAAGATCAAGAAATTAAAAAAAAAAATGTAGAAAGCAGCAAGGAATGACTTTGAGGGCTGTGACACATTCACAGCAGTGACAACACCACCACGTCACCTGCACACCAGCAGTTGGAGCACAGATCCCCCCACCCCATCAGCCCTTTTCTCTCACCGTACTCTAACAAAATCCAACCGAGGAGGGTGAACCAGGGCGAGTTGTACAACCGCTGTTGTGCGGTCGTGGTCACGGAGCCCTCTCTCCTTCACAAGCCCCTTTTAGAAAAGGTGCTTGAAAACAAGGTACAACCGCAGACCCGCTGTGTGCAGTCACAGTTTGTCTGTTTGGCACGAAAAACCACCCTCAAACCAGTCTCTTCCCTTTCTATAGTCCTTCAGATGGACACAGTCCACACACGGACACTCATTATTAGCTGAGTTGGGGCAGAGGGTGGTGAGGGAAACATCTCTAAGGAACAGGGGAGAGAAGAGATGAGGCAGTGCTCCCTTTCACTCATGGGAGGCAGAGATGCTCTCATTCATCACTCCCGAGCTGCCGCACACTCCTTCCACACGCCCTGGCACTGATGGAGACCGGGTGGGTGACAATGCCAGCCAGTCCCCTGGCAAGGAGGGGGTTACCACAAGGACTGCAGGGATGCAGCTCAGAAGTTGAGAGTTATGCAAGTGAAGGGACAGCAGTAAAAGGCCGCCACTGGTTATCTACAAGAAAAAGAAGGCGACAGCCAGTCCCTAACCCTTGCAGGCGAAGGGGCCACACAGACACTGATCTGACCCCCTCAAGGCCTCCAGCTCTCTCCCAGAGATGCTGGCCGCTGGCAGCTCTGTCCGTCACGGATAGCTCTCAGCAGAAAGGAGACACCTCGAACCCTGCACCCTCCCAACAACCCTCTCCTATTTTGCCCCCAGAGAAGGGCGTTGGAATGTGAAGAAGCCAGGAACTGAGGGAACAGGGCAGTGAAAGAGAAATGGGAACAGATGGGAGATCTGGGATGGGGGGAACCTGACCCCTCTGCCCTCACACGTACAGACTGCTACTCATCCAGGCCCGGTATCAAGTCTGCAATGCTGTCCACGTAGTAATTGGGCACCAGATCCTTGGCAGCGGCGCTGTCGCTGGCCATGTAGGCCTGCGCCTCTTCCAGGCGGGAGACACCCGTCAGGGTGAGGATGGTGGAGAGGCCGCAGTTCTTGCCGAAGAGGATATCTGTCTCCAGACGGTCTCCCACCATGAGGGTGCGGGACGGGTCCACGCCGAAACGCTCCACGATGCAGTCGAACATGTACGTGTTGGGTTTCCCCACCACCAGCGCCTTGCGGCCTGAAGCGGTTTCCACGGCGGCTGTGAGGCTGCCAGTCCCTGGAGGGGGTGGGGAAGAAAAAGAAGTAGCCACGGGCTAGCGGGCAGGGGTCCCGCCACAGGGGGATGAGCAAGCGGTGAGGGGGGTGGCAGGGGAGGGAGGGGGTGGGGATGAGCAACACGGCTTCGGGAGCCGGCAGGGAGGCTGCCCGTCTGGATGCTCAGGGAACCGCCTCGCCCGGGATGGCGATCCCCAACCGAGACCAACCCCGCCACCGGCAACTGCAGCGAGGGAGGGGAGCGGGGGGGGGGGCTCACCGGGGGTGCGCTGGCCGTCGCTGAGCGGGTGCCAGGGGTCGGGGTCGGTGGCCACCAGGAGGCATTGCGGGTCGCGGAGGTAGCCGCACGCCTGCGCCAGCTTGGCGAAGGTGAACTGGTCGTCGTAGCCCACCAGGACGGCCCGCACCGGCTCGGCGGCCGGCGGCTCGCCCTCCCCCGCCAGGCGCAGGCCGGCGTCCCGCACCTCGCCGCGCAGCCCCTCGCCGCCCAGCACGAAGACGCGGGCGCTGCCGTTCCCGCCGCCGCCGCCGCCGCCGCCGCCGAGGAGGCGCTGGCGGAGGAAGAGCGCGGAGCAGAGCGCGGAGCTGAAGACGTGCTCGGCGCGGACGCCGCGGAAGCCGAGGCGGCTGAAGCGCCGCTCCAGCTCGGCCACGGAGCGGCGGCTGTTGTTGCTGACGAAGAGGGCGGCCTTGCCGCTGCGCCGCAGCCGCTCCAGCAGCTCGGGGGCACCGGGGACGGCGCGCTCGCCCGCCCAAAGGACGCCGTCGCAGTCGAAGAGCAGCCCCTGCGCCGGGCCCAGCACCTCCCGCAGCCCCGCGCCGCTCAGCCGCCGGCAGCTCGCCATGCCGCCGCCGCCGCCGCCACCGGGCGCCGCGCCCCGCCCCGCCAATCACCGCCCCCCCCTCCACCAATGGGACACTCACCTCCCGAAGCGACATCCACCCCGCCCTGTTGGCTGCTGAGGGAGGCGGGGCAAGAGCCGCAGCGCGCTTAGCCGATTGGCTGAAAGCCAGCCCGGGGGAAGGCGCGGCGGTAGGGTGCCCTCTGCCGGCCGGCGGGGCGTGTGGGCAGCGGAGCCGCCATTATCGTTCGCCCCCGTCCCTCGGCGGGCCCCGGGGGGGGGGAGCCGGTTGCCCTCCCGCCCTCCGGTGTTGGCGTCCCCGGGGATCTCCCTCTCCTCTCCCGCCTGCGGGGCGGGCGGTCGGTCTCCAGCACCTCGGGCTGCCCTGCTCGCACCTCCCTGCAACCGCGACGCCAGCTCTTTGCGTAACGTAGTTGCAAAATATATATATATATTTCTACTTATACGTATCTGCCAGTGTGCCCCTGGGGCAACACGTTTTGAGGCAAAATGCGACGGAAAGGGCTGGGATCGTGACTGCGTGCCCGCAAGCGGCCCCCCCACGGCGCCAGCCTGCCCACCGCCACCCCAAAATGGCAGGGGGTGCTTGGGGGCTGCCCTGCCTCCCCCCCCCCCCCGCCCTTCCAGCCCACCGGGCGCGGGAGGGCTCCCACCGGGACCTGGGTGGGTGGCTCGCCCGTGATCCTGGGCAGGGAGCCGGGTCCCTTAGGGGTGGCCGGGCCCCGTCAGGGCCACGGGGGCGCGGGGAGGAAGGCTCCGTGGAGCAAGGGGGGGGTGGCGGGCAGGGGGTTCCCGCGTGGAGGGAGCAAGGTGGAGGTGCTGGGGGACGGGGGGGGACGTGCCGCCTCTTGGGCCACCCCGGCGTTTCCGCAGGTGGATCCCGGCGGGGCCCTGCACCCCATCTCTCCAGCCCTGCGGTGCCCCCCGCCCTGCTCAGCTCTCCGCGGGCCGTCCCGCCGGCGGCGATGTGGCCAGGGGGCTCCTTCCTCCTTCGGGCAGCGGCTGCCCCCCGCCCGCGGCTCCCGGGGCGCAGCCCGGGGCAGCCGCCGCTTCGGCCTCGCTGCCGGGAGGCCTGGGGGACGTGGGGGCGTCTCGGCTGTGGCGGTGTGCCGGCTGCGGGGGGAGCGGCGGTGGGACGGAGGGGGCTCGGCTGGGCGCCCCGGCCATCCGGCGTGGCCGGGCTTTGGGGCTGACGGGGTGCTCGGGGGCCGTGCCCCGGGGCTGGGCCACGGGCGGCGGCGGCATCGTGGGGCGGGCGAGGGCTGGGCGCTTGCCTGGAAAGAAAACTGGTGTGGGCTGGGGGTCCCCTCCGCTGGGGTCTCTCCCCCGGGGGCAGGAGGGGCTGCAGTGCCGGCTTGTGGGTCGGGCAGGGGGCTGCAGGCAGGCTGACAGACAAACCGCCCCTTGTCCGGCTCCCATACGGGAGACCCAAGCGCACACCGGCTTTGGAGGGCTCTTCTCACCCACTTCCCAAGAGGTCGTGAGCCTCGCACCTCTTTACAGAGGGGATGTTCGACCCAACACACTGGAGGATCTACCACGTCCATCCCCACAGTCCCACTGCGTCTGGGGCTGGAGCACGCAATGAAGGGCTGGGTCCTGGCCATGCTGCCCCGGCCAGAGGTTCTTCCTCTCATTTGGTGGCAGGGTCCCTTTCGTGCACCCTTTGATGCGGGGAACGGCAGGACGAAGGCAAACCAGAGGAGGTGACACTGAGGGGTGTCGTTCCCCAATCACTTGTGCCGTCTGGGGCACCCTAACCTTTTCGGGTGGTGTCGTCAGTCGTCGTTGGAGCCGGTGGCCCCGCAGCTTCGGGGGATGGTGTGGTCACCGTTGGGGATGCCGGCGGGGGCCTGGCCTCGGGCTCCCTTGAGCTGCTGCACAGAGAATGGGGCAGGTCACGCTTCGGCTGTGCATGGCGGTCCTGGCCACGGGGCCGAGGCGTCCACCCGCGAGGGTACAGCCCCTGGCGTGGGGTGGGGTGTAGGGGAGGACACGGGGAAGGCTGGGACAGCCAGAGCCCCCAGCTCCCACCAGACTTACGCCTCTCCTTCCAAGAGAGTGGGGCTGCTGGCCGGAGGGGTCTCGGGGGTCAGCTCTTCCACTGGGGCAGCCTCGCCACCTTCGCTGTTCATGGGTGGCGTGAACATGCCCGAGATGTTGAAATCTACCTCTGGGTGGAGAAAAAGGAGGAGACCCCATGAGGAAGTGCTTGCTGCCCAGAGCTTCTCCTGATGACCCCACAGCGGCGAACTGGAGCAACCCCCCCCCACTTCCCTCCTCCCGGGGGTGGAGAAATGTCCCTTTCCTTTCCTTCCCCCTTCACCCTGGGCTGCGGATCCCGCAAGCGAAGGCCCTGGCCCTACCTCCGGGAAAGATGCTGTCTGCATTCTGGATGAGGGCTTCCACCACACCCACCACCTGGATGGAGCAGACTGAGGCCAAGTCCAGTTGCATGGGGTCTCTGAGAGACAGGGGTAGAGGAGGCATCAGAAAAGAGGTTTTGGGTCATTAACCCTTCTGGTGTTCAATCCAAAGGGGGCAGAGCCTGAAGGGGAGACAGTCCAGCCAAGGAGGATGGTAGGGCAGGAGGTGGGCCTTGTTCTCTGTCCTGGAAACCCTGGTTTGGTTTTGGAGGCCAATAGTGTTGGAGGCCATCCATGTCACAAGTGCTCTGGGTCTCAGCCCCCTCCTCTGCCTTTTTGCAGAGTGGCTAAGAGGACATGTGCTTGGCAAAGGGACGTGCCACTCGGGGACCGCGGGGACGAGGGACAGGACTTGAGGATGGAAGAGGTGCAGGTGCTTTAGACCAGCGTGAAGGCTGCTGGCTCAGCCTTTCCCATGGCGTTTGTGTTTGGGGCACCCCAGCCGGGGCTGGGGAGCTGCCTCCCCACCCCTCCGAGCCAGACCTTACCCTGTGCTCTGCTGTGACCACAGCAGGTTGGGGCCCAGCACGATGGCGATGTTGCTGGGGGTCATTTTATTTACCTCCTGGTGTTCGGCCAGCTTGGCTAAAAACTTGATTAGATACCTGCGGGGTGAAAGGGATCGGTAAATACGGATTTGGGGAGGGAATGGCTGCCCCCCAGTGATTTCTTGGGACCGAAGAAGCCCTGTCCCTGCAAAACACCTCAGATTGTTGTAGCTCTCCTGGGGCAGGCGGCTGCAGGTGTCTCGCAGGCTCTGTATGCGGCTGTCCGTGTCCTTTAAGCTGCGAGAGAGAAGAAGGAGCAGAGAGCTCAGCCCACTCTCTACGGCAGAGAAGGACACTGTGCAAGGCAGAACGGCCAGTGTCGGCCGCCCTGCACATGCCATAGCCCTGGGGACGGAGATGCCCTGCTGCTGCCTTTACTGGGCAGCTAAGGCAGGCATCCGCAGAGGACAAAATTGTACCCCGAAGGCTCAGAGGGATTTAATATGATACGAATATAGCTTGTGGTTGGGCCTGGGGGCGAGCACCGCCTTGCCATGAGCAGCCATCCTATTTCACTGTGACTATGGGCATCACTGGCACTGAGCCGGTCCCTTCAGAAAGATGCTCTCCCCCTTTCCCCAGGGTTTTTGCTACGCCTCCTCCGCCACCCCTTCCATTCTGAAAGCAAGGGGCCAAACCGGGTGGGCCGGTGAGGTGGGGCTCACACCACTGAGGCCAAGTGGGTCTTCACAAACTAAGGTCTTATAATCAAAAAGGCTGCATCCTTCCCGCTTGCCCTGCCGTGGTTTTTATCGCTTTTCCTCTGAGATTTGGGGCCTTCTGGATTTCTGCCGAGCATGGGACAGACCAAGTGCTGCTTTCTTATCTCCCCACATGGCAAACGAGGCCAAGCAGCCCTGCTCTGAGCGCCGGGAGGGATGAAGGGGGGTGACTGGGGGCTTTTTGAGCCCCGCTAGGCTTTTCTGCCCCAATGCCCGGACTCACCTGGCCACTTTGACCCATTCGTTGTAGAGCTCAAAGGTCATCAAAGGCTGGGGCAGCTCCCGCAGGTAGGATTTCAGTGCACCTGGGAGGGGAGGGGGAGCGGAGGGAGTGATGGCAGCTGGGGGCCGGCAGGGACTGCCCAATTGTGTCCCCCAGTCCTGCCTTGCCGGCACCCACCGGCCACGGCGTGGGGGTCCGAGTAAAACTGCTCCAGGGAGTTGGAGCTGCTGGCCAAGCTGCTCTTCAGCTTCCTCAGCACCGAGGCGCCTGCTGCCAGCCGGAAGAGTCCCTAGGGATGGGGAGAAGAGGGAAGGGATGTGGGGGGCTCCATTTTTGGGGGGGAGGGGGGAGGGTGTTGGGGGACTCAGGAGCACTGCCTACCTCCTCTCTCATGCCGGAGGCCAGCAGCATCATGACGCAGGCTTCAATGGGCAGCGCAATCTCCCGGCCCAAGCTCCTGAGGTGCGTCTCTAGGGGCACACCATAGTACCCCAGCACCGGGGTGCTTGCAGAGAAGGAGGGCTCTGGAAGAGGGAGATGAACGTCGGGAAGGACAGGGGCCACGCGGGCCATCCAGCGTCTAGCCGGGGTGACATTTCTCTCCGAGCCAAGCCTGGCTGGGCAGAGGCAGGCAGGGCAGGCAGCATCCCCAGCCTGCCTCAGGCTGCAGTCCCTGGCCCACCAGCCTGATGTGGGAGACAGCGGCAGGCGCAGGGGGGGAAAAACCCCATCTCTCCCAGCCTCACCAGCCGCACTCGCATCCCCCTGCCTTGGCCTGGGTACCTGTCTGACTGCGGCTTTCCTTCAGCTCCGCCAGAGCCGAGTCCAGCGATCCCAGGGACTGCCGGTGGTACTGGGCTTGGATTTCCAGCAGCTGTCGGACAGGGGACAGACAAACGGCTCTCAGTTTGGCACCAGCCCCTCTCGGAGAGATCCCTATCCCCAGGATGTTGCGCCCACATGGAGCTGCAAGGGGAATCCCCTGGGGTCCGTGGGACTGTGGATATAGTGAGGGGTAGCAGGCAAATTAGAGAGGGGGGATCACTGAGACGAGCCATTCTGTTTGAAGTTTGTGCTGGTGGTGGCATTAACCCACAGTGCACGGAGCAGGGCCAGCTTTGGGCATCTGCTGGTGCCTGGGGCTGTCCCTTGCCCTGGCTGGTGGGCTCGGTGCAGATGGGGACGAGGCCAGGCTCACAGGTACCCCAGGAGACATTCAGACACGGAGGAGGAATGCAAGAGAGGACTTACTCTGATGAAGTAGCTGGCGTAGCTGTCCTCTTTGGTAGAGAAGTGGTAGAGGTCAGCCATGTACTCGTCCTGGGAAGGGAGATACAGAGAAGAGCAACCTTCCACCTCTTCTCTGGCACCCAAGGAAGCCTTCGCGAAGCCCCTCGTCCAGGCCGTGAGTTGCCCAGACAGGGTCTTTGGGGTGCGGTGGGGGAGGCAGGCTGGGACCGTGTGGGGAGATCCCTCCTCGCCCCCCCCGTCACTTGCATTCAGGTAGTGGCAGCAACCTGCCATACAACCAGGGTACCGGCCCAAGGGGCGCAGGGACAGGAGGTCCCTGTACCTCCAGCTCTGGTGGAGCCCACGGACTCTGCCAGACAAGTTGCGGGGCTTTTCAGAGAAACAGAGCAGAGGTGGGGAAAGCTAATGTGAAAGCCCCATGTCACCCAGCACAGACCCCAGCTCGCCTGGCTCCCAGCCCAAGGGGGACCCCATGAGCTCCCTGCTCAAGGCCCTGGACCCTCCTCTCTGCAGCAGCTTCTGCTTCATAATCCTTTACTCTTCTTCCCCAAACTTGGGGCGTCTTCCTGTCTCTGCTCCCCAAGGGACCTGTTTGCTGGCTGGCTGCATCTGTCTCGGCGTTAGGTCACCTCAGATGGAGCTGCTGGAGAGGAGCAAGTCTCTAGCCCCAGAGTTGCCCTGTGGGGTAGAGTGAGTGACCTTCTCACCTTGCACTGCTCCACCTTCCTCTTCACGTCTTCCTCCTCTTCCTTCAAGATCTCCAGTTTGTTGGCAGCAGAAGATGCCCCCGGGCCAGCACCAGCACCAGCACTGTTACTGGAGCTCTTGGCAGCTTGGTTCAGCCTTTGGGGTGGGAGAGCAGAGGGCTCGGTGCCAGGGAGATGGGGTGGGACGGGTGTGCAGAAGGGTTATGGGGACCACAGGGAGGACAGCAAGTCCTGGTACCGCCCTGTGGTGGTTCTCCTAGGTCAGTGCCTCTCACTTCTCTCACCCAGAAGACGCTGCCGCACCACGGGGCGCGATCTGGTCAAGTCAGGGAGCACTCAGCGAGGCTGACTGAAACACCCAGGGTCTGCAGGACCCTTCCCAAGCCCTGTTCCTGAGATGTCCCCTCCACTCCCTCCAGCCAAAGGGAGGTCAGTGTGGAAACAAGCCATCGGTGACCCTTAGCTGCCCTGCTCTCCCAGAGAAACCCGGCACAGCCTGGGCTATCCTGCAAGAGTCAGGGTGGGGTGATCTCGGTGGCGCCGAGCGGTGCTGGGGCACTTTGCTGCCTTTGGCAATGGCGCTGCCCTTCTCTCCTGTGCCGTGGAGCCAGCAGCTCAGCCCAGAGCGGGATGCACCTGCAGAGAGGGGCTGGCTGGGTGCACCCGAAGAGCTGTTGCCTCTTGGACTTCGCCCCCAGCCACTGGAAATTTCCTCCCCAGGGCAAGCATCTTCCTCTCTCCCCCGGCCTGGCTGGGGGCTGTGCCCCGTATGCCCTGGCTCCCCAGCCGCAGTGTGCCCCATACCGACTCTTGATTGTATTCCAGTCAGAAATCAACTTCTGGAGGGTCTTCTTGCGCTTCAGGATGATGGGAAGTTCCTCCTAAGGGAGAGAGAGGCCAGAGTGAATGGAGGAGGCTTGGGGACGGGGAAGGGGAGGTGGGATGGGAGAGTGGAGCTGGAAAGGTGGCCATGGCTACCTCGCTGAGCTTGTTGAGTGGCTGCAGAACGTTGTGCTCCAGGGCGATCTCAAACTCGGCCAGGATTTTGGCCAGCGAGCTCTGTATGCAGCAGCCCATCTCCAGGGCTTTCCTGCGTGGGGAACAGAGATGAGATGACTGAGGGCTGGAGCCATGCCACACTCTGACCCAACACCCCCCACCATACCCATACCCAGGTGGGACCCTGAGCCTGTCCCTGGCCCCCTCTGCAATTGGAGGCTGAAGGTGCTGGCTGTCCCCTGCCCCACTCCAACGCCAGCGTTTGCTCTGAGGACAAGGTTTGACAGCTCAGCTTGGCTGTGGGAGCCCCTGAGCCGAGTCAGTGGCTCTGCCAGGGTCTGGCATGGTTTGGGATCACCCCTGGCACTTTCTCCCACCGGCACTTACCCGAGGCTGGACTCTGTGTCCAGTTCCTTGAAGCTCTCAGCCATCGTTGTGGACAGAGCCATCAAGGGCAGCTTCTTCTGCACAGAGACAAGTATTCAGGAAAGGGATTGCTGAGCTGGCATGTGGCTGCTCCCTCCCTGTGAAGCATGCCACCATGGCACGAGAACAAGTGGCCAAATTCTGCACTGGGTCCCCACATCTTTCCCTGGCTCACCCAGTGCCATTGGCCCTGGGGCTCGAGGAAGGACCCTTTGGATGTCCCTTCAGCCAAAGCTAGGATCCAGTTAGCTAAACGAGGCACCAAGGCTCCACAGTTGGTTAAAAAACCTCCAGCCTTCTCTCAGATAGTCCCCTGTGGGGGACCGTGACACTGAAGGAAGCCCTCACCAAGACCAGCCCTGCCATGGCTTCTGATGCGTTGAGCAGTTTAATCACCAAAAATAATTAAGCCAAGTTGGAGCTTGTCAGGTTGTGAGTGGAGCCCACAAAATCGTGGGGGGGGGGCTAGGGGAAGTGCTGGGGGGGGGGATACACTGTTTGCTTCCCAGACAAGGGCTGGTGAGCACCTGCTGGGAAGAGGGTGGCAGGTTCAAACCGAGGAGGAAGAAGTGGTGGCACCACTGTGCCTGGCCGCCCTGTGGTGCTCCTCCCTGCAGGGCACCGTGGCTGCCAGGGGTTCACAGGGGTTTGGGAAGGGACATGGACAACAGGGCTTTGGAGGGTTAATCAATGCAAAGACGCTGTCTCTGTTTCAGGAGTGTCTCAAGTCGGTGATGGCTGAGAGGGTTGCTCTGCTCTGCTCTCCCCAGGCATGTGCTGGTGGCCGCTGCTGGAGATGGGACCTCGGCTGGGTGCAGCTTTGGGCCACCCTTCAGCAAAGCCTGCAAAGCAGGGGCTTGGCATCCCCTTTGCTGTCAGGGGACAGGGCTGCGGTGGGAGGACTCTACTCACCACTCGTTTGTCCATCTCGGAGCCACATTGTCCCTGCAGGCAGGCTTGGAGCCTCTTGGACACGCTGTGAGCTGCTCGCTTGGCCGGCTCGATCCTCTGCTCAATCTAGGGGCAGAAAAGTGGGACTGGGGGAAGCTCTTTTGCCAACCGTGGATGCCCCGAGGCCGTCTCCCCACCGCCCAGCTCTGGGTGTGGGTGGCCTGCCCGGAGCATCCCCAGTCCAGATGATGAAAAGGGAGCAACGTCTCCTAGTCAGGATTCATCCCTCCTTGAGCAGCTGGGGAAGCCCTTTGCCATGGCAGGAGCCTGCTATTCCCTTAATGCCATGATCCCAGAGTCACGGGCAGATCCCAGCCCCGTGACTTGGGTGTGCTGGCAGGGCAAATCGCAGGCAGGAGCGGGGCGGGTTCCTCCTACGCCCAGGTGCAAGCAGGCACACGCCTACGGGCCCAGCCTGCGCCTCACCTGCAGTAAATCTTCTGGCAGGAGCTCAGTTGCTTCTTGGGCTCTGAGGAGGAAGGAGAAAGAGCCATCAGCAGACGGGGGTGACCTCCACCCAGCCTCCTTGGGGAAGCAGGTCCTTCTGCATCCCAGCTGCCTCTCTTTGGGCTCCGGGGAGCAGGAGATGCTGGCTGTGGCCTGGGCAGTCGTACACAAGGCTATGGGCAGAATGAGCCCGGCGGGGGGGATGAGAACAGCAGGAGGAGGGCAAAGCAGCCAACCTTGCTGGCTGGTGGACACCCCATCAGGCAGGGTTTCCAGTTCAGAGCACCACAGTCCAAATGTCCAGAGGTAGCCTGTTTTTTTTGGGAGACAGGGTGCCCAGTGGGGCCACGGCAGGAGTGGGGTGTTTGCTGGTGAAACCTTCTACCCCTGACTGTCCGCTTCTCCACTGAAGGCAAATCCAGGGCATTGCTGTTGGAGCCTGGCACACGTCTTTGCAGATCAGAAGAGCCACTGGTGCTGGAGCAAGGGTATCTTTGTGTTCAAGATAGTGACTGAGACCAACACCAGCCCCTCCAGAAACGCCTACATGAAACCAGCTTTCTGCTCGGTTTTGTAGCAGGTATTAGGAGCAAATCTGTCAAACGAAACTTCTGGTTTGCAGCAAATTCTGCTCAAAGCCAAATTCAAAACCCACCAGCCGCCATCACCACCAAATCTCCCTGATGCCTCCCATAGAGGAAACCTTGCTTCATGGCCCGCTGCCATTGCTACACCCCAGGAACCCTGTCTGCTTTCCCTCTGCTGCTGCTGCTTTTTCCCCTAGTTCATGTTTCTCTCTTTTCACTGCCCGCCAGAGACAATGTGGGATGAGGATGTGGAGCTGCAGGAAACGGGGGGTGGCTTGGTTGAAGGCAAGCAAAATCACGTGAGATTGCAGCCCGTGGAGCAGAGGCTCTGCAGTGGGTGAAGAGCTCGCTCTCGGACTGCACAAGCTGCTTGAGACCTCCTGCCTGCCTGGCCTTAAACAAAAGGGAGGTGCATCCGACATGGGGATGAGACATCTTGAGGGAGGAGGGATGGGAAAGGGGATCATGCTCCCCTCCAGGAAACGCAAGAACAGCAAAAGGCCACCGGGCTGTAGGACCTGCTTCCCCGCGGCTGCTCTGCTGGGCTGGCTGAAGGATCTCGGTGGTCCAGGGGACACAGTCGGTCCCACTCAGCCTCCCGGTGCTGGGGAACCCGTGGAGGTGGCTGTAGGAAAGAGGGAGTGAGGGGGCTGGGAAGGGAGGGCCCAGCCCTGTAATTTCAGTTCTGGGTTTTGCAAGGGGAGAGCTTTGGAAAGCCAAAGAGAAAAATAAGGAAGCGGCAGAGGTAGGATGGGGCCAGAGGGATTTGTCTGAAGCTGTACGTCCTCCATGGGTGCTCTGAGGATCCCTGGTCCTTTCCTTGAAGGGCATCCCAGGACACCCACGCTGGTGGGCTGGCTAGAGCTGTGCAGGGCATCTGGCTCCCACGGGGCACCTCGGGCTCAGCAGGGAGAGCAGGTCCCAGCTCCTAAGACCTTCCTGGGCACCACACAGCCAGGGACATGTGGCTGGAAGGTCCCTCCCCATTTCCCTCACATGCAGGGGGAGCCAAGCTTGGGAAAGGCCCGTTTCCAGGTGGATGCAGCATTTATGGGCCCCGGAGGAGGTAGCCAGGCTTGGGGATCATGTCCCTGCTGAGCAGCACCAGTGCAGCCTTCCTGCTGCCCCGCGGGCACCGGGGAGCCAGGGAGCCACAGCCTCTCAGCTTCTGCTGAGGATGCTCTAAACCCAGGGTCCTCCCCCGCTTTTCCCTGGCTGCTGGCCCTGGGATGTCAGTCCAGTCCCAGCACAAACCTGCCAGCACCCGCATCCCGCTCCCTCACAGCCCTCCAGCACAGGTAGTGGAGAAATCCTTACCGGCTGGTGATGTTGGGATGGGACAGCTGCTGCCGCATCCGATGGAACTGCCTCTTCATCATCTTGAGAGCCGGGAGGAGACCACGAGAGCTGCTCCACTCAGCTGTACCTGCTCAGCACCTCTCGGTGACACTTGGCATCGGATGCTGGCGGCCCCTTGGCTCCCCGGAGCCTCTCTGCCCCTTGCTTTTCCCTGAGGACCTCTCCCTCCTTCCCTCGTTCCCCCTTTTTCTGTTTCCCCAACCGGTCCCCTCCCTCGTCCCTCCCCAGGGATGCCCTGCCTGCTTTCTCTTCCCCTCCTTTGGACTCCCTTCTTTCGCTCCCTCTCTTTTTCTGAGCTTCCTTCTTCCTTTAGTCCGCCCCTCCGCCGCAGATCAGGTAAGAGCAGTTCAGGGCTTCTGCTCCGCTCTCTGTTCCTGTCACCACCCCACAAGTATAAATAACTTCAGCCCAGCCTTAAAGGGGAAATATTATTACAGCAAACACGTAACAAGGCAGGACAAGCACATGCTGCTGCTGAGCCCGAGCGAAGGGCCCACGCTCTGTTTCTTGCTCTCTGTCTCAGCTGGGGTGGTTTCCCCCCCCCCCCTCCCCGCCCCGTTCTCCTTGCCCACCACCGGCTGTGCCGTGGGGCAGCCCGTGGCCGTGCCAGCTGGCTGCGCGGCGCATACGGGGTGCCTGATGTACACCCTGCCCTACCCGGTCACCCAAACTCTGCCAGTGCCCCTCGGGCACCTCTCCGTGCCCCTGGGTGCAGCTCCATCCTCTTCCCCCTTGCGACATAGCCCCCTTGTCATGACAAAAGGGGGGAGGCCAAGAAGCAAAGCCACCCCTGCCACCCCCTGCTGCACCTCCAACCCCACGTTTCCCTCCCTGCTGTCGCTGTGGCTCCCCAGAGCCACCTCAGAGCCGCGGCCAAGGGCTGTTGCCCTGTGCCCTGGGGGGACCCCAGCTTCCTTCCCTGCTCCCCCGAGCTGGGGCGGCTGGGCCGAGCGCAGAGCCGCAGCGCCCGTGCACAGTTGCACGGGGACCACAAAACTCCCGGTTCCCAGGCTTGGGTGCTGTCTGCTCTCTGCAGTTCTGCATCAGGGCTCAGCTTTTCTTTCTTTTTTTTTTTTTTTTTTTTTTTTTGGTTGATCTAAAAATACGCCCCTCACACCGCCGCCGCCACCATCGCTCCTGGCTTTATGAGATGTAAACCTTGCTGTATTTCTGGCTACCTGTAGCTGGGACTTTCCTCCTGCACTAAGAAAGAGCAGGGGTTGCTGTCAGCCGGGTTACATGGCAAAGGAACTAGCACACGAGCCCAGACGGGAAGCGGTCAGCTTGTGGGCAGATGAGAAGAGCAACAAAGGAAAAAGAGGCGGAAGGGGCACTCCACCTGTGCCCTGAAGCCTGAGAAGCAAGAATTTGGGGGCTGCTGGGCTCTGCTCCTTGGTGTGTGGGGGGGTGAGTCTCCAGCGAGTGCGTAGCAAAGCGGCACCGGCGGCTGTTTTCAAGCAGGGACCAGGCGAGGGAGCAGCACTCTCCCTGCCCCAAAAAAACCAGCTCGCTCTAAACCCGTGGCCAAGCACGTCCGATCCCCCAGCCACGAGCCCCGGGGATGATCCGAACAGGCAAAGGCTTCACACACCTAACGTAAAGACACAGAAAAGCCCCCCTAGACCCGCACTGGCTGCATCAGGTGGTGCCCAGACTTGGTTGGGACCCCTTCCTCCCCTGCGATGTCGGAGACCTGCTCCCAGCCAGAGCAGACCCCCCCCCCCCTTACAATAAAACCACCCCAAGGAGCCGCTTCCGAGAGGCAGCCCCCCCGGGGAAGAGGAAGAAATGCCGCTACAGGTGGTGGTGAAGCTGCGAACGGCCACGTAGGGTACGGGAGCGAGCTTGAGTCTTGCTCCCCCAGAGCTGTGGGGCACCGGCCCCTGCCCGCTGCCTCTCCCCCCGGCGAAGGGAAGGGAAGCAGGCAGCACCCAGCTCGCAGCCTGGAAGGGGACTCTGCTCTCAAACAGGAATCGAGAGCAGCTGGGGGACTTCCACCATCCCCTCGCCCTGCTCACAGGAGTGGGGAAATCCTCAGCGTGGCAAAGGCCCCGGGGGGGGGGGGGGCTGGGTTATGGGAGCGCAGGGGCAGGATTCGAGCTAGAGATGACCCAGCGCTGAAAACTGCTCCTGGAGGGGTAGGGGAAGGTGAGGGGAAAACGCATTCCTTGGGTCAGAAGGCAGACAGACAGGATCAGGAAAGAACTCTTTTTATTTCCCATAAATACAGCAGATTCTTCGCGCCGGGCGTTTTGTTTTAAATCTTTTTGTTTGTTTTCTTCCATTTACAGAATTTTGCACTGAAAATATATACAAGTCTGTTCAAGAACCAAACAAGATCTGCAAAGAAAAAAAAAAAAAAAAACAAAAACCAAAACCCATACAAAACCCTGAAGAGACCAGAAAGGGAAGTAAGACACAGCACAACCCCAGCATAAAGACCTTGCTTCCCCCTCTCCTCTACCACTCGCTGCGCCCAGCTCCAAGACATCTCACCCTCACCTTCGCTGCCCCCCCCAAACCCAGCACGCCAGGCACCCCACTCACCTCCATCTCGCCCAGGCCTCCTCCTACCTCTGGCAAGCCGATGCAGGGCGCAGCTTGCCCCTGCTTTTAAGATCAGGCCCTCTTAAAACCATCTTAGGGATGGGAAGCAGCTCCCATAGTCGCAAATCCCACGGGGGGGTGCGTGTGGGGGGGGGGGATTACTCAGGACTTGCCGCCCCCCCTCCCCGTTTTCCTCCCTGCCTGCAGATCCCCGCTTTTGTGTCACAGTGATCAGGCGGCTGGGGCGAGCCCCCTCCCCGCCGCAGAGAGCCAGGCCTGCCCACGGCTGCGGCCAAAGGTGCGCAAGGCACAGCTGTACCCCCCCCCACCCCCAAACCCACCACCAGTGCAGCCCTGGGCTCCCAGTTCACAGCTTAGCGGTGCCCTCTGGTGATGGGCTGGGCTTCAGCCTCTCCCCCGACTCCCAGCCCATCACCACCCCACTGCCAGAAGACACAGAAGAGCTAAGAAAGTCCCCGTCCCCCCCCAACCCCTCCCAGTCCCACCAAGCTCTCCAGTCCTGCCACGGGGGGGGGGAGGAAGACCATGTGCTGCTTCCTCTCCCTGTTTGGCAAGGAGGCTGCAGGAAGACTCGCCCCCCCCCTCCACAGCATGCCCCTCTCGGGGCCGGCGCGGAGGATGAAGTCCAGCGGCAGTCCCCAGAGCTCGCCGGAGTAGATAAAAAGATGTGGGGAGGGTGTGGGCTTCCTCGCTGGGGGGGGGTTCAGCACCCAGGAGCTCCAGCTGAAGGGGACCGGGAAGGCACCGAGCAAGCCCTATCCCAGCCCCTGGGGTCCCCCCTCCCACCAACAGCGCCGTAAGCAGCTGAAAGGAGGGAGGTGAAGGAAAAAAAAAAAAATAAATCTCTTCCCCTTGTCCCCCCCACCCCAGGCAAGGGCAGGTGCCTACTCTCTGGTGCTGGAGACACCCCTAGTCTCTGTCCTGCCTTGTTCCACACCGGTTCCAGTGGGATCCCACCTGACGGGGAAGCACTGGGGCCCAGCTCTGAGGAGGGGGGGACAAGAGGGAGCACCACAAAGCAGCTGAAGGGCTGGGAAGCACAGGGAGGGGGGGGGGGGACAGACAAGGAAAAGGATCTTCCTTTGCTAGGCCTTGCCCCAGGCTGAGGCTGTTAAAGCTCCCCATCCTTGCTCCCCTCTGCACCTAGAGGGGGAAAGCAGGGTCAGAAGAGAAGCTGGACAGAGCGGGGAGGGAGTGTTGCCTTCGGAAGAGCAGGGAAGGCAACTGTTCACCCACACGAAGCTTTCCACTCCACTCCTAGTCTTGTGGGATGAACATCTCCTGGCATCTCTGCTCTCCTCCCCGAGGCATGCTCCCTCTGGCCCTTGCCCGGCCGTCTGGAGAATAGAGCGTGAGCAGCAGCCCCCCACCCGCCCTCCCCATCTCCTCAGGCTGCTCCAGCCCCGCAGGGCTGGCTTCCCAAGGACTCTGCAGTGTAGTGCCTGCAACCGTCTGGCCCTAGAGGTTTCCCCAGGACTCCGGCGGGGGGAACTGGTCCACATCCCCCATTTCATTGTACGTTTGCTCTCCTATGGTGAAGGTCAGCTTGTATCGTAGCCTCACTTTCTCCTGCAGACAGGGGAGAAAGGATAAGCAGTCAGAAGGGGGTGAAAGAAAGGCACGAGGCACAACCACCAACCATTCAGGTCTCTCGGAAGCCGCAGGGAGCAGGGGGGACAGGGTGGGCGGGCTTTGCCCTGGCAGCAAGACCACCCCAGGGACGGTGCCGTTACCTTCTGTGGGTTAGCGAGCAGCAGGACTTGTGTGATGGCACTGGGGTGGACAATGGGGTTGAACGCCGGCAGCTCCATGCCCGAGGGAGGCTGTAGCTTCACCTTCATCACCTAGGGAGAGAGAAGAGCATCCCGCATTCCTGAGAGGGACTTGGCAGCCAGGGGCCCTGCTACTGTATTTGCGGAGCTTCCGCTGTCTAGTCAAAGAGAAAAACACTGTGCTGGTTCCTGCTGATCTGAAGGGCAAACATGACTCGGCCTCAGCCCCACAGAGCTCTCTCCACCCACCCTGCCTTTCCTGTAAAAAGCAGAGTCGCATTTCAGCCCCGTTTGGGGACCTCAGCCCCGGCAGTCGCCTCACCTTGGGGACGGCGGACTGAAAGACAATGTTGCGGATGGGCTGCGGCGCCGTGCTAAGCATGGAGATCACCACCACAAGTACATCAGGCCTCTCGGGCAGGGCGTCCTTAGCGAAGTGGAAGAGGACGCGGAAGCCGTGCCGATCATACACCGTCACAGGGAGGATGCTGCCTGTGGGAAAGGCAGGGACAGGCAGCAGTCAGCCAGGAGGCAACTGGCCCTACGGCGACCTCTCCCCATCACCCAAACCCCCTACAAGTGACAAGGGACCCCCCCCCGCTCCTCCTCAACGTCCACAAAATCCAACAAGCAAGAAGTTTCCTCGCATTCTTCCCTTTCACGTGCCCTCCCTCTTTTGCCCCGGGCTCACTGGGTTTGATGGCCTCCAGAGGCACGGTGATGTTGGCCAGCGAGATCTCCTGGGGCAGGGCGGCGGCGGCAGGAGGCCGGGGTGGGACCGCAGTACTCCCTGCTGGCGCGGTGGCAGCTTTGGGAAGCGTAGCAGGGGCTGGCAGCTCGGAGGTCAGGGGCAGCGTGGGGTTAGGGGAAACACTCTGGAGCATGGGCGGATTGTGGGCCGTGGTGCCGGAGCTGCTCCTGTTCTGGAGATCTCTCAAGGTGAGCCGCGGGGGTGGCTGCTGCTTCTCCCTGCAGGAGGGGAGAGAGAGAGAGAGGAAGGAGAGGAACAGGGCACTGGAATGTCCCACCCAGCCCCACAGAAATGGAAACAGTGGGGAGACATGTGAGATTGCGCTACCCTTGCTTACCATCGCACTTGTTGAGACTCTGGAGGCAAAGACTGTTGCAGCAGAGTCTTGCCCAGGAGGTCCAGGTCAGCCAGGCCACTGGTGAAAGGAGAAGGTTTGGGGGAGGACGCGCCAGCATCTGCTTTGACTGGTGGTGTTGCCGTGATAGGGGTGATATTGAGCTCATTGCTGTCTGAGGACTGTAAAAAGAGTGCATAGGAGAAACCCCCCCCAAGCAGGGTTGCAGATCAGCACCAAGCATCAGCTGTGGGACATCTCCCTACCTACTCCATCTGTTGCTTTCAGCACCCTCCCCACGCTCTACCCTGGCTCCCAGCACGTTACCTGGAAGCTGTTCCAGCCACTGCTGTCGCCAGCCTGGGCAGGATGCGGTGCTGGGTCATTCAGGCCTGCCGGGGGGAAAAGCAAACATGAAGCTTAGCTACCAAATGGGCAGGAGAATTAAACAGGGCCTGAATAAGCCACAAAAGCAGCAGGCCAGAACCACCAATGTGGTCTCCATCTCTGGCCCCCATCCTTGCATGGGGGAGAGCCGGGTGGGTGAAACGTGTTTTTTCTGCCCAGAGACCCTCATTTACAGTCTAGGTCTCACTGCAATTGGCAGAGAAATGCCTACTGCTGGGCTGACAAGCCTGACCGACCACACTGTCTACTTCATCCTGCTGTACTCGAAGGACCTTTCTTAGGAAACAAACACTTTGTTGGAAAAAGCAGGACTCCAGAGACTTCTAGGATTGGCACCTCACAGGATTTCCACGTGAACAGTTCTGGAAGTCCCATGCATCTGTTGTCAGCTCGTGACTTCAACTGCAAGGAGTAAACATGAGGAGCTGGGGGTGATCCACCCTTGTGATCCCATCTGGGGATGGCCGTTGCATCACTCTTGATTTACCTGCCAGGTCAGTTTTCAGAGGGGAAATCAGAGGGCACATCCCTGCAGGCTCTCCCTGACTAGCTAGGAAAACACCACAGGACTGAAGTTCAGAATCATAGCAGGGTCCTTCCCTCCTCCTCCACACTAAGTGAAGGACACCTCTTGGGCTTTCATTATGCACCTCTCCTAGAGCTCTCCCTTATTCATGTTCCTGCCACAAGGAGAACCACCCATGCGGGCTGTCCAGAGTCAAGGAGAGAATAAAGAGCTTTTGCTCTGGATTTCTCACCTAAGGACATGAGTTCGTCATCCAGCAAGGAGACGGAGCCAGCTTGGTCAGGCACGGGGACTGCTGAGCCACCTGAAAGGGTGGGCAAGGCTGGGTAGGAAGGGCCCGTTGCCGGAAGATCCAGGCCCGACAGATCCAAAAGCGCTGAGGTGCTGCCTGCAGAGAAAGAACAAGCTCAGAGACAGAAACCTTATCCAGTCCTTACCCAGTGTGCTGAGGCCAGTTCCCATCTTCCCTCACACCTGGGAGAGGGAAGACCCCCCTCTGCTCTCCCTTCCAATTCCCTCTCTTCACGCATCAGTCATTTCCACAAGTCATTTCCTCATCTCACCAACCTCACTCTGACCTCCCGCGGGTTTTATCTTTCTACTTCTCTCAATCTTCTCTTCCTTTGCAGAAAACCAGCGGTCCCTCTGCTTGACCTTCCTCTCCCCACTCCCCAGGTCTCCTCACCTCGAAGGGGAGCGGCCACCGTCTCCCCATTGATCTCTTCTCCCCGTACAAGCTGCTTGTAGAGATTGATCACCTGTGTCAGATTGTCATTGGCTTGCAGGATCTCCGCTGAAATGGAATAGGTGGGAAGTAAGTTTGAAAACTGCGAAGAAGACAGAGTGACTTTTATACCCCAACTCTGTCTATTCCTTCAAAGCAAGGCCCAAGGAGCTGGTAACAGCCTGCTGCAGGGTTTTCGCAATTGTTGCCGCAGACTGCACCAGGGTACACTGACACCTCCACAGCAATTTCAGCAGGACAAGCTCAAGCATCGTTCCTACAGCGAAGCAGAAGCAGCCTGTAACGCTGCTGACTGCTGTCTCGTGCCCCCACTTAGTGCCAAGCCATAGATTAAGTAACCTACAGCGAGCAGCCGCCCCGAAGAGAGCGGCGGCTGCAGGCAGATGCCATGCCACGGGCAGCCCAAACACAGGCTCTCCGAAAGAAGATGGGGGGAGAAGGGGACGGAATGAGAAAGGCCAGATACTCTTACCCAGAGCTTCATCGTTGTCTTCTGTGTCACTGGCGAGCCGGAAGAGCATGGGCCTCATGCGCTCACACCGCTGATACAGCTCCTGAGGGAGAGGAGAAAGAGCTGCTGAGGTGAGCAGCAGGATGGTCAGCTGGGGGTGCAAAACAGGCAGGAGGAACCCGGGGGGGGATAAGGGTCACTCATCCCTGCTAAGCCCAGCGAGGACTCTGGGATGGCCTTTCCTCACCTTCATTAGGTCCTCATTGCTTTCTGTTGTCTGCCCCTTACTGTAGTTTGTCACCATTTCTGTCAGCAGTCTCACGTTGTTGTTCACCTCCTCGATGGCATTGACCCTCTTGGAGATCTTCTCCATGCGCTTCTGGTCCTGGAGAAGAAAGACATGGGGAAGGATGTCTTTTCTTCTTGTCTGCAACTCCGAGAGGCAGAAGGCTGAGGCAGCCAACACACCAACTCCTAATGCACAGCAATGCTGCCCTCAAAGCAGCTCACGCTTCAGTGGAAAAATCCCAGATCATCTCTGGGCCAACACTTGTCAAACAGGGATGGAATGGCTGCAGATCTCGTGCTACAGTAGGTCTTGGACCACAGAAAGTGCCCAGAGCCATTCCTCTAAGTAGCCAGGGGATGGCAGAAATCACACAAGGACTCTAGCAGCTGCAAAAGTTTGCGGAGAAGCTCCACATGTCTGCATGAGGACAGAAGGTCCCTGCTCCCTTGGTGCCAACCATTGCCACCTAGACTGTGGGCCCCTCCCCTGCCCCCAGCTCCCCTTTTCCCCAGCTGCACCTCCTGAACCATTTCCTTGATGAGCTTGTTGGCAGCCCGGAGGTCCTCAGGATGGGAACTTTTCAGGAGACGAGCCAGTATCTGCGGAAGAGAAGGTACCTCTGAGCCCAAGCTGAGGGTTGGCAGCCAGAGTCACTCTTGCAACACTAGAGACAGGAGTTACCCCTGCCCCAAACCTGCATTTGGCAGAGGCAGTGGCCGTTTGAAAGCCCAGCCACAAGAGCTTGTGGGCTATCAGAGGCCAGGGAGAAAAGTACAACTGGTCTTTCTTTTCCCGTTGTGGCCCTGGTTATGTAAGAGAGGTCTTTCCCCGAAGATCCCCTGCATTCAAAACCTGCTCCTGCCCGCCTGCTATGCACCATGGAGATCCTGGAGCACAGCAGGACTAGTACTGAGAAAGAGTGAAAGCCTTGTTTATGCAGGAATTTCCGTGGGATTGTAATGGACTCCTACTCCTGCCTCTTCACACCTGCAACTGGTGGAAGAGAGAGAGCACCCACTTCCTCTCCCCCTCCGTAGTCAGTGAACAGTCCCACTGGCCACCTGCAAATCCTCCTGTGCACGCTGTGACCCATGGAGGCAAAAATATATCCCCCACAGGAAACTGGCATCGCAGCTCTGCTGCAAAACTAGACCCAGAGGGGCCCGATACTTGCTTAAATGTACTGATAATGCAGAAGTTTGTCTGAGTGGCAATGCAATTCTGACGGACAGGCAACATAGGATGGGCCCAGGAGGGTGTAAGTAGTTTGGGCAATAAGCAGATTGCAGCACTGGGGGGTGAGGACGAGGTAACAGCAGCAACATCTGGGGCTGGGATTTAAACCTCATGGACAGATAACTCAGAAGCTTGGAGAGTGCACAGCAGCAAACCTCCCAGAACCCGCTGGGTTAATGACAGTGCTTCACCCTTTGCACCATCTTGCAGTGAAGTGCTCCAAAGGTCAGACAGACCCACATGCTCCAACTCTGACTGTTTCCTTTGTCATGCTTTTGGAGCGGGCCCTCAGCATTCCTGTGATTCGTTTTCTAAAGGACAGCATGTGGAGCAAGGGCTTTGACTCTTTCTGGATCTCCACCTCAGGAGGACAGGAGATCCTGAAGCAGGGAAGGTGTTGCTGGCTGTCCCTCTCCTTCCACAGAGCCCTTACCTTGGATTTTTCTTCATCATCAAAGATGATGTTCTTGGGTCGAGGGGGAGGCAGTGGAAAAGGAGCGTTGTCAGGCAGTTTTGGGTCACACTTCACAATCCCTGCAGTAGACACCAATGGAGAGGTCAGGAGGACTCGCCCACTGGGGGATGGCACGGCCACCTAGGTCTTCTCTTCACTAACAGCCCATCAAACCCAACTGGCACTGAGGATGTGTGGGTTTTCTCCCACTACCCATGATCCTGGATTGTGTTTTCATGGAAGAACTGCCCTCCACTCCCCATAAATATCCTCTTAGAAAAAAACCCAGCATCAACTGCTGAAGCACTCGCAGTCCTTCAGCCCCAGACCTTTCCAGCGCCCCATCTCCTGTCAGAGCACATGTCCCCTCCAACCCATCAAGCAACTCAGATCACCAGCAACTCCCCCCCTGCCCAGCTGGGAGCCCCAAGGCACCCGCTCCTTCACCTGCCCCTGGTGCTGAGCCAGACTGATGGATGTGCTGGCGCTGGGCACAGGGAAGGGAGAGTCTGTTCTGGATTCTGCCCAGACGAAAGATAGAGGGAGGGCAAACTGTCTGTCCACCTTCCCCTTCCAGACCGCTGCCTCTCACCTTGTTTCTTCAGCATCTGGTATGCTTCCGAGATCTTCACCTCGTGAGGCAGCCCCAATGTCCAGCTGTACATCAGCTCCAGGATCTTCGACTTCACTTTTTCTGGTGTCCGGCTGCCAAGATACTAGAAGAGAGAAGAGGTGGCTTGAAGCTGATCTGAGCTATTGCAAGCCTGGCCTGTTCCTCTCCTCCCCTCCCCCAGGAGAAGTGAGACCGTTCCCAACGGCACAAGGAGGGGGAAAGAGGAAGCAAGTAGGGAAGCTCACGAGGTCCTTGCAACACGTCCTATGCTCTGCTTGGTTTCCACCACAGGAAACACAAGAGGTGGGAGAAATGCTGCACCAGCAGCCCCTCAACGACGCACAGGGACAGATGGGAAGGCTCAGACAAGGCCTCTGTTGCCTCGTGAAGGAAAAGGTCCTGCTAACAGAAACTGCCTGGCAAGGCCCTTCAGGAACAGCGTGTCAGTGGGGCTGAGAGGGGAAGGACTGTGGGTCATGGTCCCTGGGGTAGGGCCCAGCCCTCTCTCTCAGAGGCATTCTCCAGCACAAGTGCCTGGCACCCTTTAGAACCCTAGAAGACCAGCACCCAGCAGCGAGATGTCCAAATGTTACAGCTCTCCCCCTGCCATGCAATCAGCCTTCTCCTGTGGGTCTGACAGGGGCACTGGTGGTAGAAACAGTGCACGTGCCACCAGAGGCCAGTGGATTAGGGTAGAGGACATTCTCCAGGGCGCCTAGCAAGAGGACTTTAGGATGCTGCTGGGTCACTGTCCCTGGCTATTCATCATCACAGATCACAAGCTGTGACTGGCAGATGAAGGTTTTCCTTAGTCATATTCAGTCTGTGTTCCCTTAACTCTACACTTGCCGGTGTTAACTGCCTGACTGAATAGGAGAGCATGCACAGCTTGTTCTGCTGCAGGAACAGCAGCATCAGCAGAGGAGCAGGCAACGACTCGGTCTTTCAGACAGACTCGCCAGAGCACCACTGACTAGGCCTGGGCTTGCCCTCTGAGAGTGTCTCAACCAGGTTGGGACACTCCAGAGAGACACGGTCACGATGTCAAAGCTGGGAGAGGTTCCTGAGCACATACAGCACGGACAGAGCCCAACAGAGACGCTGGGAAGGTGACTCCAGGCACGCACGTGAGGTCAGTAGTCTCACAAGCGCTGGTTGCATCATGTCTAGCCGGCCCTCGGCTTCCTGCATCAAGAATCAGCCTGGAGCAGAGGGGTGAAAGCTCACCTTCCCACCCAAAAACTCACCAGGGAGCAAGGACTAAATATCCTACTAGCACTGTTCTGTTTCCCCCCACATCCCAGCAGGTGTCTGACCTTTCTGCTCAGCCACCACTTCTGCCCAAAGCCCTCCTGCCAGCCAGCTCCGGTCCCCTCCAGCGCGATGCCCTGAGACCCACCTTGGGCGACACCACTTTGATGAGCTCATTGAGGAAACGGAACTTGCCCACTTCGTCGTGGAAGCGTTTGCCGCAGCTCTTCATGCAGGACTCCAGCACCTGGGGAGAGGGGCCGAGTGAGCCCCAGCACGGGGTCAGCAGCAGGTTCAGGAGCCAGCTCCTTCCTGCTCCCCCCTCGCCAGGCACGGAGCCTGTGGCTGTCCTCACAGCAGCGCAGGGGGGACACCCCATCTCCCTCCCAGGTGGCCTGGCACCCTCCTCCCAAAGGGAAGCAAGAAGATTTATCTTTTTGGGGTCGGCCTTTGCAGAGGCGACTCAACAGCCCATGGAAAGGGACGCCCTTATGAGAGCTCACAGACGTGGGTTCCACAGCGTGGATCCACAACATCATTAAGAATCACCGAATCATTCAGGTTGGAAAAGACCCTTAAAATCATTGAGTCCAACCGTTAACCTGATACTGCCAAGTCCCCCAAGTCCAACATAAAACAAAAAGCTTCCTATCAACTTCATCAGGCTATGATCCTTCCTAGGAACAAGACTTTTCCTACCAGTCACCCCTCTTCTCTTGTGGAACCACCTTTGGCCCCTCTCCCACCCAAGGACCCAGGTGCTCCAGGGCTTTCTCCGAGGGAATTCAGAGTTTCTCGTGCTCCTCCAGTCAAACTGGAACAACTCCACAGCACGGCGCTCCATCTAGTTCTACCAGCCTGCAGATGCCCTTACCGTGAGGGCCTGGATAGCTTCCCATTCCTGCGGAGACTGGATCTTGTGCGCAAGAAGTCGGGTAGCAAGTGGAGGACTGAAAGGAGCGAGGGGGGGAAAAAAAACAAAAAGCTAGCCAGTTATTGATGAAAAGCCTGGTACCTGTGTTTCTATCTGGGAATCCAGGGTTGAAAAGCACGTTGCAAGTTTAAGGCACTGACAAGGCACCAAGACACCTCAAAACCCTGCAGGAACTTTCTGCTAGTGGACCAGGACCCACCCCCACCTTGAGGAGCTTCGTGCCTGCTCAGCTCTCGGGACAACCCTGCCAAATTTTACCAGGTGGGGAATTACGACCCGGGCCTGTGATCCAGAGCAGCCTGGGGAAAGCACGAAGCACTTACCCCTCCAGCTCTTTATTGAGCTGCTCACAGAAAGCATTGATGCCATCCCAGTCCAGGTCCTTGTTCAGGGGGTTTGTCGCTTTGTCTGCGGGCGGGAGAAGGGGGCGGTGAGAAAAATCTGCACCCTGTGGAGGCGAGGGGCGGCATCGCTCCCGCTGCCAGCCCGGCCGGGGGACGGCGTGGAAGGGAAAAAAAAACACGCTCGTGTCCGCACCCGCCTTTCCTGCGCACGCCAGCCACGGACGCCCGCCAGCACACCCCCCTGCCCCACGCTCAGCTGCGCGGCCTCCCCCGCCGGCCCCGGCTGCGCCCACGGCCACGCCTCGCGTGGGGTCGTCCCCCCCCCCCCCCCCTTCACACGCAGGCGGGGCCGCCCTCACGCCTCGCTACGTGCGACACCCCCCACCCCCCTTCCCTCGCACCCCAGTGCCCTCCCAAATACCCCCCCCCCCCCCACACTACCCGTCCCCCCGCCAGCAGCGGCGGCCGGGGCCCACCGGCGGCGCGGCCGTGCCAAAAGGGAGGGAGGGCCCCAGCCGCACTCACTGATGCGCGCCTCCAGCGTCTCCGGCTCCATGGCGGAGGGTTCCGGCGGCTCCTCACCGGGGCAGCGCCGCGCCGCCGCCCGCCCGCCCGGCCCGGCGCCGCCGAGCCATGGAGAGCGTACCGAGCCGCCTAGAGCGCCGCTCCCACCGCCTCACCGGAGCGCGCCGGAAGTCGGCCGGCGCCGGAGCGCCCCCTGCCGAAGCGCGCCGCCGAGCCACCACGTAGAGCTCACCGCGCGGGGCGGAGACAAAAAAGCGCCAGACGGGGCGAGGAAGCGGAAGGGCCCCAGGAGAAGGGCACGGGAAAGAAAGGAAAGCCGGGCAGGGCAGAGCGCCGGAAACCAGCCGCTGCGCGGAAAGAAGCCGACCTCGCCCTTCCCGGAAGAGCCCCTCGTATTGGCAGGTGAGGCCACTTCCGGCGTCGGAGAAAGGGCAACTTCCGCCTCGGGCGTGGTGGGGAGGTGGGGGAAGCGGCGTGGCCTTTAAAAGGACACGGGCCCGCCGGCTGCGGCGCATGCGCGGGGGTGGGGTGGGGGGCGGGGGCGCGGGAAAAGGCCGCGGCTCCTCCCTCAGGCCTCGGCGGCGGTTTAAGAGATGTTAATAAAGGCTAAAAGAGAGCTCCCGTACCCTGATCGGAGTCGTCTCTAAACAGCTGCCAGGGTTTAAAGCTGTTAACAGCTGGCTGAGCAGCTGGGGGGGGTGGGGGGCGGCAGGGAGGAGTTGGTAAAGCCCTGGAAGTAACTAAGGGCTTCAGGGATATAAAATCCATTTGTCCGCTTTCTCCTTGCAGCTCTGGTAATCCCTGCCAGCCCGAACTGTGTCATTTAATACCGCTTGTTTTCTCTGTGCTCCAGTGATCTTGGAACGAACAGCGTGCCTGTGTCCCTGGGGTGATTTATTGCTCTTGTTGTTCAGGCTTTTATTTTTAAATTATTTTTTTTTTCTTTTTTCTTTTCGAATAATGCCGGCAAAAGGCGCCAACTCCATGACCTTTGGGGAGCGCCGGCTGTTGGAAGGGTCCCTGGTGTGCCCGGGCGCCCCAAGCTGCCCGCTGGGGTTGGCCCAGACGGGGTTTCAGCAGGAAGAGCGCAAGAACGATAAAAGCCTGCTCGGCCCTGAAAGTGTCCGATCCTGGAGACAGACCTCAGGGCCAGGGCGCTCCTGTGGCGGGTTACTCATTTACAGCGCTAACCCCGCAGACGGCAGGCGAGGGAACTGCCCTGATGTCACGCCTAATGTCTTTTCCTTATGGGTAGCCATTGTTTTGGGGGGGGATTTTTGGGCCATTAAAAAGTACTTTTTTGGCGCTCGAACGTAGATCTTTTTTAAACTGTTACTGCCTTGCGTCACAAAGCCTTTTTAAAGCACCTTTCATAGAAAATTGCCACATCCTTCCCTCTGCTGTGTTCAGGCATGTTTTCCATAGGTTATTTTAATCTTATGAGTCAGCCTTGCCTGTCACTACTACCTCTCTGATTTTTCCGAGAATCCTGAAGTCATCTTTAGGAGGCTGAGGCCTAAATATTGCTCTTCTAGGTCATGTACCATCTGCGTAGAAGGCATGCATCTCTTGCCTCCAGCCCACAAAGCGATCCCTCTGAAGGAGTGGTTTTGCAGTCTGGGGTTTCGCAGCCCTCTTCTGCTCAGGTTTCTATCTGTCTGAGTCTCCAGGTTGTTTATTTTCCTCTTTGGCAGCACCCAGTGGTTAGCAAGTCTACGACGAACGGAAGGCTGTGCCTCTTTTCAGCTGGTTGCAAACAATGGAGAGCGAACTGGTGCATAACAGTTGTGTCAGCTGCGGCCTTTCAAACCTTGCTTTTATTTCTCATAGATTCAGGAGTTTCTTTTCAGTTTGGTTGCATCTGCTTTCTATATAACAAGGGCCTTAAGGGCAACAAGAAAGAGAGATCCGAGTCTGAATTTTGCTCCCTGTAACAGCGGCTAGGTGACATGTGAGGAAAAACTTTCCTCCTCTCCCTCAATTTATTTTTTTAACGACAGCTGGAATCCCAAACTGGGTTTGCATGGAGTGAGGTGCTCCACGTTGTAATTAACACTGCTTCAGAGTGAAAGTACTGGAACTATAATCAGCTCGTAGCCAGTTGCAGAGGAAAGTGATTGCGCGCAGGCTGGAGGCCCCGGGTCGTTGGCGTGCGGGCGAAAGGGAGGTGGGGTGCGGGATCCCAGTTTTTTGGCAGGCCCTGCAGCAGGCTGTCCCGCAGAGGGCAGCAGCAGGCAGTAAGAGCTCCTGCCTCATCAACCCGGGTTTAGCAAACGCTCTTGCTGCCTGCACAGCCGAGGTGAATTGCAAAACAGGCAAAGTCCCCCTCAGTCGGGGAGGGAATTGGCCTTGCAGGAGCAGCCGGGTCGCCTGGGAGAGGGGTTTTCCGCCCATCAGGTGGTCTTCAGCCAGCCAGAACCGCCTGGTCAGCCTCACTCTGTCCCAACTTTTGTTTGGTTTCTCTGCCTCGTGTGTTTATGCGAACGCTGCGATGTTTTTCAGATGCGCTTGTGTGTGGCAGTGAGAGCTTTTGTGTGCTTCCTGCCGGGTCGCTGGCTCTGGCCCGTGACGTGAAGTTGCCTTTCCCCTGTCACATTCCTCTTTCCTTGGCACGGCGTTCTGCCAGAGACCTTTCACTTTCCTGAAGCTTGGTACTGCGGTCTTTTGTTCCCTTCTCTTGTTTTCCTGCTCTGGCTGACTGCAGCAGCCAGTTCCCAGGGTTTTGGCTCAGTTTTACCACTGCTGCTTTCTCTTGGAACAGGGCTGACAGCACCTCTCCTGACATCACCTTGGACCACGCACTTCTTACGCAATCCCCTGGATTTGCAGCCCTGCCATTCCCTGACCTTGGCTAATCTTCCTTTCGCAATACTTTTTAAGTACTTTTCCCAGCGGAGGGTTGCAATTAGAGAAGCAAGATAGAGTTGCATACTTCTCTAGAGGGAGAGCAGGTTTGAGCTCCTTTAATCTAATAGGAAATGTCTCCTTCCCTTTCATATGCAGCACTTTCTTGTGGTATGCAATCATTCACCAGGATTGCTCCTTTCCATTTCTTTCCCTTTTCACTGTAGGAAGACCTGTCCCGGATGATCAAAGGCATCTCTCTACAACTACAGGAGCAGAATGAGGAAACAGGATGCTGGATAAGGGATCAGAAAACCTGCAGGCTAGATCTCTGCAATTAAGTATGTCTCCGAGCAAGACTCAAGGAAATGCACAGCTCTGCTCGCTCCCTCAGTTTCCCTGGTTGTTAGTGTGGGGAAAATTGCACTTGCTTCATTTGGGGAATTGCCTTGACCCCTGTATACTAAATTTCCTTTCCGTGTTGGTGCTGTCATTAGAGCAACTGGCTCAGCGAGAAAGGCAAGTGAGAGAAGCAGAGGTAGAAGTGAGCTGTGCAGCTTCTTGCTTCCTTGTGTTCGAGCCTTCCAGACTGGGCAGCTCAAGGGGTGTCTTGATCCCTCGACTGAGCGAGCAGCAGTGCTCCCCTGGCCAGTGCAGGGACTGGCAGTGCCTCGTTAGCCCCTGGGGAAGGCTCACCTGCATTTGCTGTTGCTGATAGAGTCTTCCCAAGAGAACCCTGGCCAGTCAGAGGATGCTCTGAAAACAAGTAGGTAAAGATGTATCTGCTTGGCAGCAGGTAAAGATGAAAGAAAACCGACAGGACAGAAGCCCTAGTCATGGCCATGGCTTGGAGGCTGATAGTTTATGTATCTGGCTAAGCCAAAAACAGAGCTGGGAGAGGAAGACCTGCCAGGTTGGAAAGCGCTGCTTAAATTTATGGGGCTGAAGCGAGCATCAAAGGCCCCGAGCCCGCAAGGGGGAGCCTCGATGAAGTCATTCACTGCACGGCTGATGAGATCAGCTCCAGGCTGGAACAGATCCGCTACCGATACTGTGAACTCGGGATTCAGATGTCGAGAGGGGCACTTGAAAAGGTGAACAGATTCATCCGTTCTTGCTCTAACCCTGACTTGCTGCGTAATCGCTAGCAGAGGGAAGGGGCATCGTTCGAAAGCACAAGTATTGGGGAAAAAAATGGTTTAAGAGTCTGGATTTTGCTAAGTTACAGTTCGGCTCTAAAGAACAGCAGGAGGCAGAAAGAGAAGGAAAATCCTATTGCAAAGGCATTTTTCATGGGCATCCGAACATGATCTGAGCAGAGATTGGCGACACGAAACTAAGCATCCTGGAGCAAATCAGGGAGCCCAGCTGCAGCAAATCCCCAAGCCTGGATGATGAATACATCCCTGCATTGCGGCGACAACGAAGTGTGACTTTAGTGAAGCGTTTGCCGGGGATGTTTAGCGTAGCAGCCGCCCCGGGGAGCTCAGAGACGCAGCCGTGTGCAGCCTCTCTTTTACAACGCGGCGCAGGGAGGAGGCATTCCCCGCTGCGGGGTGCCCCGGCACCAAATGCACGTGCTCTCGGCTGTGCAGCTGGCTCAGGTTTGGCAGCTGCTGAGGTGGAATAGATGGGGTTTGGCCCAGCCTTGAAAATCCCCCATTGCCAGTGATCCTGCTTTGGCTGCAGCTGCCTCAGGTTCCCTAGGAAACTTCAGTGCTGGCTGAAGTCCGGACTGTGAAACGGCAGGAGGAGGCAGCCTGGCAGCTCTCTCCCTTCAGCCCGGCAGCTCGGTCTTTGCCCCTTGGCACTGCAGGCAGCTTCAGCCCCGCTTTTGGCGGCAGCGAGGAGCAGCAGGGCGGAGTGAACCCAGTGCCAGGGCACGGCAGACGTGGGGTTAGGAATAAAAAGAAAACCGTGACCCAGGAGGAGAAGGGAGACACAGAGTCTGCATATGCAGATTTCCCGAGGGTGGACCTGGCCTTTTGTAGGCTCCTTTCTAGTCCCTCTGGCTTTGTCTGTCTTAGTAAACACAACAGGAGCAGGGCCAGGCCCCAGCGCGGCCTCGGGACGATGGCTCACGCTGTGCCGTTGATAGCACCCACCCTGGCCTGGTTTTGGGCTGTGCCAGCTAGCAGTGACACAGCGCCCAGGAGACACGGCTGGGGGACAGGGCGGGTTGGGGACTGTTCCCCAAAGAGCCTCGGTGCCGCCGAGCGTTTAACCCCAGGGATGGGAGCTGTGCCCTGCTCCTTGCTTTTGGGGCCAAGAGCAAAGCAGCTGCACTCTGTAAACCCAGGTCCCTCTGAAGGCAGGCTTTTGAAGTGCAGTCCCCTGCAGTCTGCATATTTATCCCCCTCATTTTCCACTTTTTCCCTCTCTGAAGGTGGGAAATGTCGCGCAGCAGGTTGTAGGGGAGTGTGTGGGGCGGGAATGTGTGCGCCAGACCGAAACTGGGGAACTCTGTCTGCTGGGCACGGCTGAACACAGGGTTGTGAGTCAGCCTCCTACACCCCGCGCTGTGGGTCACTGGCCACATTCTGACCTCATGCCTTGTGGGGTGGGAGAGATGCTGTGAGGCAACGTTGCCCAGGTGCATGAGGTCATGGGGGCGTGGGGGCCAGCTGCTGGATGCGGGGGGTCAGACAGGCCTGGGCGCACAGACACGTTGAATTTGCCCCCCTGGCTCTCCTGCCTCAGGCTGGCAACACGAGGAGCCCATCGTGCTGCCCACGGAGCACACGATTCTGCAGGAGCTTCCCGTGCACGCATACCTCCGTCCTGTTTCCCCCGCCACCCCAAACTACGTCAGGTTTGGGAGCTCACCCGGGGAGCAGAACAGGGGCAGAGCTCGTGTATCCCCCATTTAATGCGCTGCTGATGGATGAGTCCCCCAGCCAGGAGAAAGATCAAGTACACGCCTCCGGGTGCATCCGAACGGCCTCTGCCTTGTCTCTGCCTGGAGGGGCTGCATTCAAGCGACACGCTGCTGTTCCCCTCAGCCCAGTGGGCATTTTGAAGGCACTGTCCACGTTCTGGGTCTCACCACAACCACGTTGCACCTTTGCCGTCCCCTTCCCCTGTGCAGGAGGAGGAGATGCTCTCGGCAGAGGCTGCTCCTCTTTCCACCTCCCTCCTCGCACCAAGTAGCTTTGCAACTTGGGTAACTCGCCTCCCTGTAGCGGTGCTCTGGCTGGGTTTTGGGAGGAAGATGTACGCTGGGAGTCGATGGGGTTGAAAGCAACCGTGTCGCAGCATAGCTTAAGGGTGGGCTACGAGACCCCCAGCTGTCCTCTAGCTGCTGTGCTGCCCCTGCAGCTGGCCAGCAGCTCGCTGGTGTCCAGAGCAGAGGGTAGGAACACTTCAGCTCATCCCGAGCTGGGTCTCTGGGGAGCTGCATCTCTGCTGCAGCTGTGCAGGAAAGATTCCCACCCCTTTCCTAATGAGACTGAGTGAGTAATAGAGATGTTCCTCAGGGACGGTGTTGTAAGGAGCGCTACGTGCATGTTCAGGACAAGAGAGCAGGTCTCCACTAGCTTTTCCCTGCTGTTGTGCAGCAGACGTTGATGCGTGTCCCATCTTGACAGAAGAGATAAGCTATCTCTGTGTGGATAGGAACTTGCCTGGCAGTTGCAGCTAGGGGTCTTCCTTGCATTGTTCTTATCAGATCTCCTGGCTTGGCAAGTCTGTTTGTTGCGGGGTGAACGGTGTTTGGGGCTATTCAAACTGGGATATGATAAGATTTGTCTGGTGTGAGTCGTGTTCAAAGCATTTAGTTTGTAATACCCCTCTCCGGAACAAGCATTCACTATCCAGGAATCTGACTGCAATTAAAGCTGGGTGTCTGCTTCGGGCTCTTGGGGGGGAGCAGCGTGAAGAAACCTGGGGGCAGGCACAAAGACAGCCAGGTTCTTTCCCCCGGGTGTGTTGCCAGTAGTGGGGAAAAGAAGGACAGCAGGAGAAGACACAAACTGGAGGGAAGGGAAAGTGATCCAGAGAGAACAGCCTAGAGCATGACTGCTGGGAATGCAAAATAAACATCCAGTGTGGTCAAGTGAGGGCTTAGGTACTACCGGCTGCGTGGCATGGGTCAGAAACAGCAGAGGCTCACAGGAGCAGTCCGGAGGAGGGGACAGGATGCCCTTATGGGACTGGTCAGCAAAACAGGGTGTTCTCAAACACACGGGGTGTCCCTTAGTGCCCAGTATAGTGCTGGAAAGGGAGATGAGGCGTCCCGGGTGCTGCCCTGCTCCCTGCGGTAGCATGTGGACAGTGCCATGCCCCAGCAGGCTCAGATGCCGGCTTTGAAAGCTCCTTCACCTGATGGCAACTCTAAGCAAGGTTGTGGCTGTAGCTCCTCGCTGGGAAGCAGGGAAAACGTAAATTAGCATTCCTCATGCTGGTGAGAGTTGGGATCTCTTCTGCACTTTGGTTGTCCTTGGAGCTCCTGCAGCAAGTCAGGCTGAGCTCCTTGCCTTGTGGCTTGCTCTGGAAGCGGGGAACGCGGAGAGCTGATTGTGTGGGCCTGGTCTTTTCTTAGGTCTCCTTCAGATGCCTGCAGTTCCCTCTTTAGATGCCCATTTCCTGCACTGAGTCAGTCATTTTGGGATTTGGATTCCTTTTTTTTTGGCAGCTTTTCTTTCCCATTTCCATCTGGTTTGGTTTTTACTGTTTCATTTTGCAAGGCCATCAAAGGGAGTTTGTTCAAGCTGATTTTGGAGCAACTGATAGTTTTGACTTGACAACCCCTTCCTCTGCAGACCTCAGCCATGGCCTTAGATGCAGGGTGGGTCACCCCTTCAGACCCTCTCAAAACTGATGGGTGGTAAGGTGGCTTGCTGCTTCCCGGCAGGGATGAGGGATACTTGGCTTTAGTGACATGAGCATAGGAGAACAGACCTTTTTTCTTTTTTGCTTCCCTTCTTCCCAGCCCACGAGCTGTTAATTCTTGTGGCTTTTCAAAACTTGCTATTTCTCCCTTAGCATTTCTTTTTTTTTTTTTTTTTTTTTTTTTTTTTCCAGTGGATGAGCCACCCTTGGCATCGTGCCTCGTGTGTGTGACTCAGACGGATTCTGCTTGCCTGAAGGATTCCTTCAAGCCTTCGGAGTTGTTCAACCCGCCTGGGCTCAGCGCTGGAACCCGTGAGAAACACACTCAAAGCGAGTCACCCGGTGCCAGCAGCCTTGTTCTCCCTGTGCGGGATGGACCGCTGCATGCGGGGACTCGGCAGCCCCTCTTGCTGCACGCCCTTGCTGTCCTGTGGGGTTGAATCCGGGATGGCTGCTCGGAGCTCAATGGAGGGAGGTCCCCATGGGCCTTTTGTGTATGATGCAACACTACGTTTCTTTTTGCTTCTGAGTTCCAGCCAGCTGGCCTCATGCTGTCTTTGTTGTGGGAAATGGTCCGCTTGAAGTCAGGGGAGTTGGGTTTGGGGCATCTCGGAAAGTCCCCTGGCTTCCACTGTTGGAAGGCGTCTGTTCATTTTGAATGCCTCTGGTTTTCGGACTTAATTGGACCCACCCAAGGGCTAATTTCTTTCAGAGGCATGGAATGCCTCAGTACCTCCTACTGATAGTAGATGGTGTGGTGAGAGATCAGCATCTCTGATACTTGAGCTGCATTGGCCAAGGAAGCCCAATTTCCTTTTAGCTTCTAGGGCAGGTTTGCCAAGCTGGAGTTTTGTTGTTGTTTTTTTTTTTTTTTTTTAAATCTGTCCATGGGAGCTTTAAGATCAGAATCTAAACAAGAAGAGGTTTTTCTGGATGTGAACTTAGGTATCTGTGCCCCAATTTCCCCATGTGCAAGATGAAGGGGCTGCCATCTTCCTTACTTAATGGTAAGATAAAACTGTGGGAGATCTTAAAGTTTTGGTGCAAGATACAAGTGGAGCATAAGACCTCATGGAGCTGATATTTTGTGGAGAGCTATCTGGAAGATCCTTTTCCCGTTAAGCTAATCATATCTCAACCAGCAAGTCAGGATAAAGCTGGGAGATCCCTAAAGTTCAGGAGAGGGAGAAGCCATGAGCCTTCTAGGCATCTTCTCTTTGCCAGTAGGGAAGCTGTCAACACAAGTGCATTTTTAATCTGCAGGCGTGTTTTTGAAAGCCTTTCCCACAACACACATTCCTGGCATGCCCCCATGAGGGAAAAAATTAGAGAAATGAAGGCTGGAAATGGATCTGGGTGGCATGTAATCAGTCCTCTGACCTTCCCCAACCCTTTGCTGGTTTGGTTTGTTTTCCTGCCCCTCGGGCAAGCTGAGGACCCCTAAGATGGGACTCATCTGGCTGCTTGGGTTGATGAAATGTCCCTGATGCCTTATGAGCCAGCTCCCATGCACACGAACTACCTTCCTCCCCTCTCTGTGCACAACTTGTAGCACACGAAAATGTTGTTGCAGACTTCAGAACTGCCCGAGAGAGATGTCCCCTGCAAAGGTATAAGGACATAACTCAGCCCTGGGGATGGAAACCATCCAGCGGAGTGCATTTGAGCTCCCATGGAGATGGGAGATGCCAGTCGCTGTGGCACGACCACCTTTCTGATAGGGTAGGGAGAGAGATGGAGTCTGAGCCATACCCCTCCCGTGTGCTCTTTATCTGCTCCACTGCTTGATGCAGGTTCCCTCTACTGCTGCCTCTAGCCCTGAAGAAAGGTGATTTTTTCCCCTGCATTTTAGCTCTTCAGCTAGCTTTGTCCTTCCTCCTCCTTATTCTCCACATCCTAAGGAAGAGAAATTGTACCCTACAGATGAAGGGGGCTGATGCTGATGGAGAGCCTACTGGAGATGGATGGCCTCTAATCCCTTGTCCCCACGTTCAGAGCAAGGATGCTACTTCCATACTTCCCAAAGGGACTCTGGATGACACACTGTCGGGGAGCTGGGGCATGAGGGTCATGAGATTCACCTCCAGTCCTTTGGTCCTTCCCATTTTAGTTGATCCAAATGCAGAGACTTCAATGCCTTCCCTAGAGGAGCCATCCTGTTCTGCTTAACCTCTTAGGCAGGAGATTAGTGCTTATGGGCACCAGTTTCCTTGTGCTCATCAGTGCCTTGGCTTCTGCTGCATCTCCTGGACAATCCTCTTTTGTACACACCCTCCAGATCCACAGACCTGCTTATCCAGTCTCCTGCTTGCCTCAGTGTTTGGCTGAGGTAAGAACTATTTGTTCTCTGGGTCCTCCTCAGTTAGGGAGCTGGCTGGCTTTCAGGCCGTAGGGATCAGTTGGGTGAAGATTGCAGCACTGTCTGAGCGGCAAACCAACACCTCTTGACTAAAGGGGAAACCAGTCCCATCAAACCTATCTGGGAATTTCTGTGACTGGTAGGTGGAGGACCGAGCAACTCCATCAGGAGGTGATGGAAACCTCTTCTTGGTCCTGTCCTGAGCCCTGGCCTCTGCAAATCCAGAGCTCAGCTTCTTGAAATCCACCCCACAGACCTCTAAGGCAAGGGGCATTCCGCACTAGGCTTCATAAAAGGGGGAAACTGAGGCATAAACGTGGCTTAAACGCAACTGCCAGGAGGAACCACAACCAGGGCCTGGATGAGGTCAGAGAACACGGTTTAAATCAGGTCACTGCTTGATATTTATTGTGTGGAGTTTTCTTTTTTCTTTGCTCCTGCACTGAAATCCTTCCCCAGAGGCTATTCAAGGAAATAAATAGCCAGTGGAAAGGGACAATAGCTTGCTGTGGAGTACAAATTATATGAAGCAGTAGGAAATAATAGCAGAGTGAGCAGCTGCTACTCTGAGAAAGAATGCATGGTTGGTCTCTCCAGCTCCCTTTGCCTTGAGCAGACATCGATGCCCAGTCCATGGCACAGGCTCCCTGGTGCCTTGAGTGCAAAATGGGACAGGCGCCTTTTCCCCTCTGCAGTGTCCTCCTCCGGTGCTGCTGCTTTGCTGTCTAATTAGCACCGAGCTGAAACCGCAGCCATCTGTGGGGGGTGCTAAGGGGATCTCTCTGCTCTTCTTGCAGAGCTTAGTTTGACGCGGGGGCAGCGGCACATGCATCCATGCACCCAGTGTGGCCACTTCACCTTCCCCTCTTCCCTTCTGGACTGAGCGTCCATGTGTGGTGATGACCCGTGTCACTTCTGCAAGGGACTCGTGTCGTCTAGAGGGGACGTGTTGTCTGCCCTCTCCTCTGAGGGCCTTCGAGCCCTTCCTCAGAGCACTGCGGGGAAGGATGGTGGGGACCTTCCCGGTGAGGATTTTGGGGGCTGCCCCCTGCTACAAAAGGCCCTGAGAAACCTCTCACAGCTGGGGCAGTTGGGCTACCTTGGCTGGGAAGTGGGGAAGCCTGTGGTTTTCCTCAGGGCTTCACACCTAGCTGGCTTATCTCCTGCCCGAGTAAGAAAACAAAATAAATACTGCTGCCAGCAATGATGCTGCCGAGGATCTTGGCAGCCTGCTGGGGAGGGTGGCATTCAGTCTGTTCTCAACAGCTGTGTGGGTGCCCTGTGGTAGAGGTGGCAGCTCTAGGCTATGGTATATGAGGTGCTGCTGCCCGGAGCCACCTGAGGGTCCTGAGATCCCATGGGTGCTCCTGGTGGCCTGAGGTTTCCCCAGGACTAGCAGGAAGGTTGGGAAGGACTGTTAAGCCCAAAACCTACCTTATGGAACCTCTGCAGATGGAGATGCCACATTTCATGGGGTGAAAGCACTCTGCAGAGGAACTGCCCTGCCACCCTTCTGGCTGAAAGCTGACATGGTTGCACTGGTCTCTTCCCTCCTTAAAAGATGATTTTTTTTTTTGTTTGTTTGTTTGTTTTCTTCATGTAAAATTGCAGGCCTGCCTGCTCCCTGGTGGAAGATCGCCTTGCCCTCGGGTTGGGCATGGCCCCCACCCTTGTGCCAGTGACTGCTCGTCGGGTCTCTGCTGTCCCAAGGCACCCTCCAGGAACGCAGCAAAGCCTCCTCCGCTGCCAGCGGTGTGAACATGGGTGTCCCACACCAGTACAGGCCAACTGACTGACCTCTGGCCAGGAGGAACATCTGTATAGGTCCCTGGACAGGCACTCCCAGACAGGTACCCTATTATAGGATCATCTCTCTGGGGGGGTGAAGTGTTCCTGGATCCCTTGCACTGCAGCTTCCACAACCATTGCTTATGTTTTCCTCACTGCACAGACCCTCCACCTCCCCTGCAGATCCCCTTTAGCCGGATTTCCTCTTTCTTTGGGATTTACATTCCCGTCATATCACTGTTTCCCCAGGCTTTCTGCTTTGCAGTGTCTGCAGGGAAGTATCAACCTGCCTCCTTCACCCTCCTTTCATCATCCCAATCACCACCTCCAATTGCACTGGAGAATTTAGGCTCTTTTGGGGTCCTGAAAGTCTCAGCCCCTTCCTCTGTGGGGAGCACATACCCCTGCATGAGAGAGGCCATCTGCACAGCGCTGGTTGTCTGACCACGCGGAGCCTCAGCTCCGCAGACGAAGGAAGTCGCCAGCGCTGGCAGAGTTGCTGCCTGGTTTCCCACTATTGTTCCCACTGGCAACTAAAAGGGGGGTGAACGCCCCTGCTGAGCATTGTAGGAGGGGGGTTAATGTTCTCTTGATAAAATCTCACAGCCCCTCTCTGAGCAGCTTGTGCCTCCTTCCTGCCCATCTCCCTCCCTGCATATTCTCACATCTGTGGTACTTGCAGCTCTTGCACATGACTCGGCGCAGATAGTTTTCCCCATCCCTCAGACACATGCTGCTCTCCGTCCTGGGTAGCCTCATGCTCTGCCAGTGGGATTGGTGGATAAATCCCAGGGAGAGTGATGTGTCGGGTCTGTGTGGGAAGTGAGGGCAAGGCTACTCTACGTTGCTGGCCCAGGACCTGGGTCTTGCCTCTGCCACAACATTCCCGTGTCACCTTGACCAGCCACGTAGGACAGAATTGTTCTGACTGAGTTTAGGGTCTGTCTTGGGCTGTAATCTCACAAGCCCGAGAAATGCTTGTTTCTCCCTGACAATTTAAAGTGAGTTCAGCTAACTAACCCTGACGGTGGCTATTCAGTGTCTTTGTACTGCCCCGCTGCAAAGGGACAATGTGAGTTGCTGGAAAGAGAAACCTCTCATAGCCAGTGGGATGCTCTGATATTTTGAGAGGGGGGGCTCTGGGCTATGTGTTCTCCCTGGGATGGCTGTGGGGGAGCAGGGGGATGTGAAGGTATGTGTGGGTGAGACACAGCAGTGTGTTGGGAAACAGACCCAATGCCAGAAACCACCATCCCCAGCACCTGCTCCTGCTGGCTCCACGCTCAGCCCAGGGAGGTTTTACCAACAGTTTCAGTGGCTTCAACAGCAAACAAATTTCCCCAGCCTGCTGGGCTTTATGACCCTCTGCTAATCGGAAACATCTCCAGGGAAGGAGTGCTTATCAGCACTTACCTCTGCTTGCTTCAGGAGGTTTTGGGGAAGGGCAGAAGCTGTCTTCCAGCTGGCTGTGCAGCATCAGGGTGACTGCACTCCGCTGCTCTCTGCAGGGCTTAGGAGCAGGGCTGAGGGACTGCTGGTCTCCTGAGCCTTGGCCTCCTCCTTCTTCTTGCTTTCTCACTGACTTCTGGAGTCTGGTAAAACCCCATCAATTTGTTCAGCCGAATGTCACTGTCTGCTGACTGTTAGCTCTTACCTGGGAAGAAGACAGCAGGGGTGATGCTCCCTTGTGAGGACAAGACTCCTGTGTCTCAGGGTTAGGGAGGATGGGGCTATTGAACCTGAGGTGAATGGCTCCTCAAGCTAAAAGGTTTGTGTCTTGATGGAGCTTGGATGGGAGGTTTCAGAGAGCTCTCATGTATCGCTAGTGCAATCCGCGTGGCGGGGCCTGAATCTAGAGCCACGAGAAGGGAAGGAGCTGGGATGCTGCTGATGTCACTCCTGCAAAGGACTGTTCATGGTTTGTGTCATCTAGAAGGGGATGTGTTGGCTGCCCTCTTCTCCAAGCCTCTTGGAGCCCTTCCTCAAAGCACTGCGGGGGGGGATGGTGGGAGCCATTTTGGGTGTGCTGGTGTGGATTTTGGGGGCTGTGCCCTGCCACAAAAGGAAGGACCTGGGATGCTTCTTTTGGCTGTTGTTGTTTTTGAGCTGTCACATGTAGAAAAGAACCAAACGTGGTGGTCACACCTCCATGGCCAGCTGGGAAGACTCTTGGCCTATGTGGTAGCACCCCTAAGGGCTGTGTATGGTGGTCCCTCCACTGGGAGCCCACCGAGGAGGCTGGGAATTGGTTAAATTTCCCAAAGTCCCTAAGAAGAGGAAGTGCACATAGGGAAGTGAATTTCTTTGGATCAAAGTCTGGCTTAATAGCACTTTGTGGGGCCCTGCAGAGGCGGGAGTGCTGTTAATGTGTAAACCACAAGGACATCTAGGGATGCAACATCTTCCATGTGAAGCATTTCTGAGTTAAACTGCTGGTGGCTCCCTGCCTGGTTACTCTGCCCTCTGAGGAAAATGGCTATAAGGGTAGATGGCTGCTCCTGTCCTCTGTCACCCAGGGTCCCCAGCTCAGCAAGGCTGAGTGAGGGACTGGCAAGCCACAGCCTCCTCTGCTCTCACCACTTGCATTTCTTGGGCTGCAGGCGATGCTGCCCACCAAACCCTGGGTTGTGCCTCTCTGCTTTAACCCTCTTTGTACCACTGCTGTCGTGCTCTCCTTTCCTTCTGCTGAGGACAAGTCTGTTTTCATCTCCTCTCTCTCCGATGTCTTTTCTCTCTTGCGGGCTTCATTCAGCCCACTCTTGCCTCACTGAGTGAGAAGCCTATGCAAGACCTCCAGCATGAATGGGTTTTGACCATGAGAGGAAACCCAGCTGAGAACGATAGATGTTCTCCTGGTTGGGGCACCTTCTCCAAGCAGCAACCTTTCACTTGCAGTGGCAGGGGAGGAATGGCTGAAGGAGCCCCACAGAATATTTTTCTGTCTGCCTTAGGAAACATTTGAAATCTTCAACCTAGATATGAAGACTGGGGACACCCTGAAGATCAAGGGCAAGGTATCACATGATGCTGACACGTAAGTACAAAGAAACCACCTCAACTCGCCTGGACTGAAGGTGGGCTGCAGAGGGAGGTGGTTTTTCAAGGTCGCCAGGAACATAGCTATCTTGAGGGAGCCCCTATGCCACCACCATGCAAACTCCCCTGGTTCCTGAGCAGAATGAGGAAGCAGGAAGGCATTAAGCACCTGCAACGCTGATGGAGGAATTGGGTGCAGAGCCGTGTGTTGGATCTCAGGTCTTCCAAGAGCCTGTCCTGCCCGTGCAGCTGACCTTCCTCTGTTCACCCACAGCTTCAGCATCAATCTTGGCTACAGCTTCTCGGACCTGGCACTTCACTTCAATCCCCGCTTCCATGAGTCTGTCATCGTCTGCAACTCCAGGTGCTCCGATGCCTGGCAGGCAGAGCACCGTGATAACCACCTCTGTTTCTCCAAGGGCTCCACTATCAAGGTGAGGGGCTTGTGCCACCATGGGCTTCTGGGGTGGCTGTGTGGTGGGGCAAAGTCCCTGGTTAGCAGATTCCCATACCCTAGTCCTCTCAGTCCCATCCAGTGCCTCCTGCTCTCTCCCAAGAGGCCCTCATCCTCTGGGGTTTTGGTCCTGATTGCCATTTTCAGTCCTCTTTCAAAACTCCAATGCTTCCTCTGGGAACTTTGTGTGAGCCCTTTGTGTCTCAGACTTCGTAAGTGCTTCTTGGCCCCCATACCTGCCCAGCAGGTGAGTGCACCAGAGGCACATAGGAAGGCGAAGGGAATCTCCAAGAAACAGGATCTTGCTGTTCTCTACCTTTTTTCTCTCCCCAGTTCTCTCCTATGCAAACGCAGGCTTTAAGGCAACCCAGAGTTTGGGGCAATGTCCAAAAACCTCTCCCTCAGCTCTTCTGTCCTCGCTACTCCTGGATCCACGCTGCTGATCTTTCCTCCTTCTCCTGCCAGGGATGCTGTCCTAGTTCCTGTCTCACCCCATCTGGTGTCCCGAGACATTAACAGGGCTGCATTTAGGAGCAGTCCTGTTCCTACTGTGGTAGAGAGGAAACTTGTTTCCTCAGCCACGGCTGGCTCTTGGGGAACAGTGACAGCTTTGGGGAACGATCCCTTTGATTTGCAAAGCTCAGGAATGTGTTCCTGTCCTGTCTGCTTTTGCGTGTTTATCAGCAAAGCTCCTTTTTCCTGGTCACGGTGAGCTGCTGAGGCCTGTTCAGAACAGATCTAAGCCATGTGGTGTATAAACACACGCTTGGGTTTAACTGCTCTGAGTTTACAGTCTGAGTAGCTGAAACAGCCCCAGAAGAGATCCTGTGCCCAGGTCATAGCCTAGATACCAACTTAGACCCTTGATGTCAACTGCTTATTGACATCAACTGCAACCCTCAGCTCAACCCCCAGCATCTTGCTTAAGGCTGTAGGGACCAGGTTTGACCCTCATGTGTAACAATCAGGCCTTTTCTGCCTGGATGCTCATCTCCTAGTGTCCTCTTTGTCGCCAATTCCTGCCCTTCCTCCCCTCTCTTCTCCCAGCTCATCATTGAAATGCTGGCAGACAAATTCCAAGTGAAGCTACAGGATGGGCATAAAGTGGAGTTCCCCAATCGACACGGCTACAAGAAGATCAGCTACATGAGCGTCAAGGGAGGCTTTAGAGTCACCTCCTTCAAGCTGGACTGATGAGTGTCACTTCCTAGCTGTAATAAAAACCAAGCAGTGGGAGACTGCTTGCTCCAGCTGCTTTGGCTTCTGCGAGCTCTTTGCCTCTGCGACTCTGTGAGAGACATCGAGAAAGCCCAAGGTTTTTCCACCAACAGGAAAGGAGCCCTTGTTGGATGGAAATAGCTCCCAGATAACACCAGGTGCTTGTCCAGGTCACGCCAGGATGAACGGAAAGTAGGTAGGGCAAAGCAGGCGGTGGGTGGGGTTCCCGAGGAGGAGGTCACTTATGTGATTGCTCAGGGAATGGTGGTGTAATCTCATCACAATGCGCCATTTCTTCCTGCACCAGTTTTTGGGACGGAGGGAGGGAGGAGGGGGAAAGGGAATAAAAGTACAGAGGGGAGCAATGTGGCATTCAGTGCCACAAAAGCGCATAATTAAATGTTAGGTTTGGGAACCACAGGACATGGGTCTGATGGGCTCCTCTTGGCTGTTCTTGCAGCCAGCGGGCAGGAGGAAGAGGTGCAAGAGTGGTACCACTTGAAGTGGTGGCACGGGGAAGGCAGCACAGGTGTGCCCCTGAGCCAGCATTCCTGCCAGCAGTAAGGAGACAAGGAGTTGTCTCCTCTGACCTTCCCCCTTATCTCATCTCACTTATTTGCTGGCACATTCCAGCTGGGTTACCCATTACTCTGACATTTCTACACCAAACCCTCCTCAGTGAGAAAGTGAGGCAGGGGGAGGGAGGACAGGGTTTGAGCTGGGCAACGTGACTCAGCACCTCCCAGTCTGCATCCCTCACAGGGGACTACAGGCAATTAGCGCTGATTATCAGATGCTGCAGCTCTAATCAAAGAGTGTCTTGCCAGCCTGAAGTGAGACTGATGTATGACAGCAGACATCGGGGCTCTTTAAGATGGGTGGGAGGAGGGCAGAGTAGAAGAGCATTTTATGGAGAGCCTGGTGCAAGGCAAGGCGGCAGTGCCCCTGCACTCCCTCTCCGCCTCCTCGCTGCCCATCTCGTGGGACTTGCTGCTGCCTGAGCGCACAGGCGAGGGATGTCTGATGGGTTGGAAGAGCTGTGGCCAAGCCAGCTTTGGGAAGGGTACCAATCTGCTTCAGGCTGCAAAGGAATTGTTGCTGGGCTGGAGAGGAAGTCTGGCACCCTCCTGTGTGCTACACAGGGCTGGGGGGATAGGAGGTTGCTTTGTGTGTTAGTCACGGGGAGCAGCAAAGTAATGGATTAGTTAATCCAGGGATCCCAGAGGTGCTGGCAAATCCTGCTGAGAGTGGATGGAATGGGATTCTGTGGCTGGGGCACAGGCAGACGTTGCAAGGAAGATGATAAGGTCGCTGCAGCTGAGGGGAGGCACCAGAGGAGAAGTTAGTATCAAAACTGTTTTAATAAGGACAACAATAAGTGCATGGGATACAGAGTAGAGGCAGAAAGGATATTCCACAGATGTGGGTCTTTGGTCTGGAGCTTGTGTTACAGTCTGGGAAGCGGCGGGCAAGGGAAGCTCATCCTGAGAGCCAGGGTCCCCGCCCTGGAGGGTGCAGGGCTGATAAGGCTGATCCTGCTGGGTGCCGGCGGCCAGAGCTGGGGACTCCTTGAAGCTGCTGCCTGCTCCGGCTTGGTGCCGTCGGCCAGCAAGAGGCAGCTGCCTGGGGAGGCTGGGGGGAGATGGGCTTGCCCGTAACCTCGAAGGCCTGAGTGCGAGCAGCACTCCTACCTACAACATGCGTGCACGCCGGAGGCTCTTTCTTCTGCTCTGAAGAGCTCCCTGCCAGAAGCAGCCGGGCGGTGGGTGAGCTGCGTGGGAGTGGAGCCTTGCGGCCGTGCCCCGGCATCTCCCCCCCGCTGCACACCCCCTCCTGTCCCAGAGAACAAGGGGGATCCTGTGAGGGTCTCTTCGGTGACCTCAGCCCCCGAGCATCTTGGCTTCACGCTGTGGCACAAAGGCGCTTCTGTGAGGGCCAGTTTGCACGCGGGACAGCGTGGGGGGGCAGCTCGTTCCAGGGCGGCTGTGTCACCCAGGGCCACTCAGCGAGGGGCATTAGCTGTCCTCCACGTGTACCCCCGAGAAGCGGCGTGCTGGAAAGAGGGGTCTGCCCGTGGAGAATGGGGAGAGGGGGCGAGGATGGAGAAGAGGTGGCACAGACCGAGCGGCTGCAGCGTGGGAGTCTCCTTGTTCTGAGGTGGGGAGCAAGGAATGAATTTCTAGGGCATGAACTGCAGAATTTGGTGACCTGACAACCTCGCCTCTGCCTCCAGCCAGCCAAGAAGTTTCTCCCCTCCCTGCTGTGAGGAAGTGGGTGTTGGAAAAGGAGCCATCGTGCTGGCCATTGACCGACGCTCAGCAGCATGTGGCAAGTGGAAAGACCCCTGCGATTATCTCTGTGCGTGCTCTCACCTCCTGAATGCTGAGCTCATGGCTTTTTCTTCGGGGAGGGAAAAAGAGAAAGCTCAGCTCTGTGGGGTTTGCCTTGAACCCCTGGCTGACCTCCCCCGGTAGATAGATGTGCTATATGGGAGGGTCTTGCACCAGGTGGAGCTGGGGAGACCCCCATCTTCTACATGCCAGAGCTGTTGGTGGGAATATTTCCAGGAGGGCACCCGTGCCAGCGCAGAGGGTGGTTGGGGATTTTGGTGGGAGGATGGGACATGTCCCTGGACATGCTGGCAGGCCCAGGCTGAGGGATGGGAGAGAAGGCGCCGGCGGGGGGGACAGAACGGGTAGGAAGGGGCTTGGGGTTTCTTTGTCACGTGGGAATGTCCCTTTGGTGTCTAAAGGCAGGGAGGCCGGGGAAGGGCTGCGATGCCGGGCGCTGCGATGCACGGCCCTCACCAGCCCTCCGCAGCAGCCTGGCCCAGCCCCGGGGAGCCCCCCAGGAGGTGGGCTCTCCTCCTGCCCCCCTCCGGCCCCCCCAGTACCCCCAGCTTGTCAAGGATGTCGCTCACTGGGTCTGCTGGTGACACTGGTGCCTGAGGGTGGGGCGCAGGGAGGTGGGCGAAGACCCCAGTGCCTCTGGCGAGGGGCTGTGATGGGAGGGATGGCCGTTCACACCTTGACTTCATCATCCTCCTCCTCATCAGCGTACTCAAAAGAATTGCTGCGTCCCCCCCGGGCACCAGTGTACCCCTCTTGCAGGCTGGAGAGCTTGGCCTCTTCCTCTTCCTCCTCTTCCTCTTCCTCCTCCTCTCCTTGGTTCCAGGTGGCCTCGGGGGACTGGCTGTCCCCCGTTGCTTGTGACCGCCATGAGCTGCTCCTGGGGCTCTCCCACAGGGTCTGCGTCCGGGCCTGCCGGGGACCCTCACCCTTCGCCGAGCTCCGCGGGGTGCTGGTCCCACCGTAATGACGGGCCAGGACCTGGGCTGCCCGGTTAAACTCTCCCGCCTCAATGGTGCAGTCGTTCCAGTGCCCCTGCCATGGGGTCCCTCTGGGCGCTGCCCCCGGCCCCGAAGCCCAGGCAGGGTCCTCCCCAATGCCCTCGATGGCGTGTGCCTCTCCGTTGGCATGGACCGACAGTCCCAGCAGCGAGCTGGCCCCCGACAGGCTGCTCGGTCTGGAGCGGTCCCAGGGGCTGGACGTTGCCTTGTCCTCTCCGTGGGGTGCGCCCAGTGCTGGAGGGACCCCGTCCTTGGTCTCCTCACCGCACGGGAGGTCTGGGCCATCCTCTCCCACCTCGCTGCCATTGGTTTCGGAGAAGCTCATCACTTGGAGAAGCTCGCTCATCAGGGAGGGCCCCAGGTCCAGGCGGAAGGAGAGCAGGGAGTCCGAGCGCGTCAGCTCTGCTTCCCCGGGGAAGGCGCTTTCTTGGGCCTTTTCCAAGCGAGGGCCGCGAGGGATGGTGCAAAACCCAGACTCCAGCCCTGCGAGGCATAAGGGATGGCTGGTGAGCTGGGGGGGAAGCCTGCCTTACATCTGCAGGGGACAAGGGACACTGCCACCGAAGTGGGGCCCGTCACGCTCCCCTCGGTGGCTCTGGCCTCTAAAGGACAGGCCAGTGGCTGTGTGGACACCTCCAAAGCCCAGAGTCACAGCTGAGGGTCTCCAGGTGGGCTCTGGGCTTGGTAAGATGCTGCTGGGGGCTGAGCCAGGCAGGTGGGACCAGGAGATGGCAGCATTGCCTCAGCCTGCCTTTCCTTCTGAACCCTGCCACCTCCTCCGGCTGCTGCGGGTCCCCCAGACTCCCCGAGACCCTCTGCCCCAGACTTCCCTCCCTGGGGAAAAGCTGAGTCACAGCCCAGGGCTGTGAAGGCCAGAGAAGAGCCACCCAGCTGTCCTGTCCCATCCCATCCTTCCCACAACCCTTCCCCAAGGGTCCCTCCTGGACCCCGGCTGGCAGGGAGGGATGTGGGTGCAACAGGGAAGGGTGGGGACTGGGATCCTCAAGGAGCACGTGGAGATGGAGGGGTTGGCACAGCTAGGGACCGGGTTGGGGCATCTGCATGGAGGTGGGGAAGGCCATGCTATGGCTCCCCTTGACCTCGCTACCTTGGTGTGGGCATTGCCCCACTGTCTCAGCGTCCTCTTTGCCTTCCTCAGGGAGGCTGCTCATGGGGAAGGTGTAGGGATGGGGGGAGATGGGGGACCCCTCCTCATAACTGCTTCATACAGGCTGCCAGCTGTGTGGGGCTATGGGGGAGGGAGAGGAGGAGAAACCATCCATGCTCCACTTTGGGGGGGCATCTGGGAGGAGACCCTCCAAGGGCAGGAGCAAGGACAGTGGTTGAAAGCAAGGTTAGGGTTATCTCCTTGCAGGGATTACCAGGACTGGGTACTCTTAAATGTCCTGTGTCTGCTGAGGGCCTAAAGTCCCTCGGTGGGGAAACTGAGGCAAGGAGTGATGGACAAGGGCTGCACCGTGCCTGGGCACGAGGCTCTGCCCCGCACTTCACTCACCGTAGGCCTGGTGCGTTTTGGAGAACCTGTTGGAGGCACTTTTGAAGGAGAACTTGCTGGTCAAGCCCCGGCCGCTGCTGCTGTCATAGGTTCCCTCGTTGAGCTGTGGCAGCGAGATGGCGTTCTTGATGATGGGCGAGATGGCTGGGGGGGCGGGTGATGCCCCGGCTTGGCCCCCGCCGCCCCGGCTCCTCAGCGGCGTCCGGCGGACGTGTCGCAGCGTCCGGGCGAAGAAGTTGTTGGTTTTGGCTGTGTCGGCCCCGCCGTGGTTGCTGAGGAAAGAGGTGTCCCCGAAGACGTCCCCGCCGCGCCCCACGTGCATGGTGTGCCGAAAGTCTCCCAGCGGCGGGCTGATCATGTCCGGCGTCAGCTCCGACTTCAGCCGCCGCTTGCCGTGGGAGCCCGACACCCAGCTCAGCACCGGCAGCTTCCCCAAGCTCATGTTGCACCCCTCACCTCTCCTCTGCCTTTGAAAAAAAAAAAAACAAACCCCAAACCAGCCCTTGACGGGCTTCCAGCACTGGGGTGGCCTGTCACATCCCTGGCCTCCCCATCACTCCTGCTCCGATGCTCTTGAGGGACCGGCTCATGCCACCTGGCCTTTCAGCAGGTGGGAAGGGTGTCTGTCCCCTTGCTTCCCTGCGCTACGTCGTGCTCATGAAATCACGCCCAGTGGGAACGTCTCTGCTGGCGAGGATGACGGGGGTGTCCTCAGGGGGGTGTCTGGGGTCACCCCCCGGTGTTGCGGGCACTGCTGGAAGCTGCGTCTGGCTGCGGGCTTAGGGGTTAATCCACCGTCTTCTGCTGCCGCTGGGTGAGCCAGGAGCTGGTCATGGATGGGGCAACGGGTGACGGGAGCTTGGGGTGGGATGGCAGGGCAGGCGCCTCGGTCCCCTTGTCAGCCACCTAAACAAAATAAGAGGCATGGTGAAGCCCTCGGAGAGGATTTCCTCAACCACGCTGGCTGTACCCCTGGGACTGGTTGGGGAGGTTAAAGGAGGTGCACGAGCAGCGGTGGGGAGGTTGCTACTGGCTGTCCCCCCTCGCCTTGCCCTCCCCTTGGGGAGGAAAGAAAAGTCTTTACCCCAGAACACATGCTGTCCCTCACCCCTCTGACCTCCCTTGGTGTGCCTCAGTTTCCCCTGCCTGCAAAGCAGCTTTGCCAGACCCATGCTGCAACGCAGGCTGAAGATTTCCCTCCCAGGCAGCGCCTCCTCCCAGAGCAGTGCCCTGCCTGGCTGCCCAAGGCTCCTGGGGCAAGAAACCTCTCCTTCCTTTTTGCTATTCAGATGAACCCTTGGGAAGAGGGTGAGGCCTGGGGACTGCGTGCTTCTTGGGGAGGAGGGGCGGCAGGGCGAGAAAATGCAATATTTGTATATTGGTTGGTTTGTCCTCCTCTGGCTGGATGCCCGGGTGCTGGGCAGACATGTCAGAGCAGCAGAGAGCCGGCGGTGCGGGGAGGGCAGCTGCTTTGCAGACAAGGGAAACTGAGGCGCGCCAAGGGAGGTGATTGCCCAAGGTCAGAGGAGAAGGCAGGATGGGTCCCTGCACTCGGACAGATCCCAGAGGTGCCAGGGGCAGGCGGGGAGGCAGCGGCTGGGTGCATGACGGTGGGGGGCTGACCTCCCCGTTCGGTGGGGCGCTGACCTCCCCTTTCAGCGGGGAGGGCACTCAGGTCAGCAGAAGCCCTGCTGGTGTGTGTGGCAAGAGGGAGAGGGCGGGTTGGGGAGAGGAGAGCATTCGGGACGCGGGGTACCTCGGAGCATCAGTGGTCTGGGTGCCTGCCTGGGGACACGTCCCTCCCTGGGCTCAGTCCCCGCTCAGGGGATTAGGGGGACAGGATGGAGCTGGGACCCTTCAGCAGGGCGGGCTGCGGAGGGTAGCGTGCCGAGTAGACGATCCAGGATGGGACCCCCATCGCTGTGTGGCTCCGTCCATCTCCCCCTGCCACCCTGCCCACTCCCCTGCCTGTCCTTGGGCCACCTCGGAGCAGTCAGGCGGTGCCAGGGTGGCAAAGCCTCTGGGGAGGGGGAGCCCTGGACACGAAGCTGCTTTCCTGGCTGGCTACATGTGTTTTTGCTTTGCCCTGGCCTTGTCTGTTCACCCAGGGCCCCTCTTATCTGCCAGGGGTTAATGCACGGGGAAGGGAAAACAAACCTCCCCTGGCAGCTCCCAGCACCATTGGCTGCCTCCCGGGGTGGCAATGGTCAGTGGCAGCTGGGACGGTGGCAGACTGGCTTCCTGCTGGCCCCCAGCTCACGCTGTCTGCCTCCCACTCACGGGGGCCATGTGGTGCTGCCTCATGGCCAGGATGGACCAGGCACGTGGCAGATTTGGGGTGGGAGGACAACTGGGGGAGTAATTTCCTCTCTCTGGCAGAAGCCCACCCATAGCCACTGGTCAGGGCTCTCCTGGAGTTCAAGGAAACCACTGGGGTGGTCCCTGCAGCACAGCAGGGGTCTAGGGACCACAGGGAGAGAGATGTGACCCCATATTTGAGCTGTCCCCAGCTCCCCCAGGAAGGCGTGTAACCCCAGCGCAGGGTATTAGGTGAGTTATAGCCCTCCAGTTTTCCTTTCTCTCTGCGTGTTGGAGCCCCTGAGAAACCTAAAGCGGAGGCTGTGCCATTCAGCATGGGCTGCACCAGGCAGGGCTACTCGAGGGGTGGTGTGTGCCCCCACACCCCCAGGTCCCCAGCACAGCAGAGATGCCCTGCAGACCCCTGTGGGGGTCTGGGGCTGGCAGCACCCTGGGGATGGGGAGGGGAGGCGAGGGAAGGGGAGATGTGGGAGGAGAGCATCCCCTTGCTCCCTGCCTGCAGAACTATTGAGTGGGGAGCCGGGAGGAGGAAAATGTTTCTCCTTCCTTGTCCCTTTGCCACCACGGGACGCAAGCCAGCACGTCCTGGCCCCCGGCTCTCCCTGCCTGCTGGCAGGCAGCAGGCACTGGAAGACGAGCGAGGAAGGGAGGGAGGCAGCTGGTGCCCAACCCTACCTGGATGGCAGGTTTCTGCCAGGCCTCTTAGGCTTTTTCTCCCTCTGATCTCCCCATTTTTTCCTCCTTCTCTCTGCCCCTGGTGCATCTCCCTGCTGGCTGTGCCCCTTTGAGCGCTCTCCTCCACCCAAGTGGACTCCTTCATGGCAAGGAAACTCGTGATTCTGCGGGCAAAGGGTGACCCGTGCACTCTCCTCTCCTCTCTTCCACTGGGCAAGGGGACCCTCCATCTGGCCACCCATCCCTCTGGACATTGCTTCCCTCCAGCAGCCCACCGCATTCGCCAGCCCCGGGAAACGACGAGTCCACAGCCCATCCCGACCTCCCCTTCCCCAACATCCTCTCCCTGGCTCCCTCCTCGCCTCCTCTGGTAAGCCCCCTGCCCTCAAAAGACCAACTGCTGGCACCTCCTCCTCCTCCTCTTCCTCCCAGCCTGGCCTCCCCCGTTTCCCCCCACCCCCCCGAGTTCAGCTGGTTTCCACTGGTTTTCCACTCACCAGGAATGGCCAGAACTGTTCTGCTTGCTGGGAAGAGCGGAAACCAGAAAGGGGGGGAAAATAATCCAGATGTCTAGTTGGCTGGAGCTGCTGAAAGCAGCCTCTTCCCTCCTCCTCCTTTCCTTATACCATCACCAACACACCCTCCCCCCCCGCCCCCCAAAAGGGGACATACTCCAAAAGAGGGCGAGGAGACGTTTGGGGTGGTCTCAACAGGGGGAAAAGTGGGTGGAAATGGCTGTGGGTGGCCAGGAAGGCTTTTCCAGCCTTCCCGAGTGCCGAAAATACTCCCTTTCCCCAGAGGGAGGGAGGCAGAGGCTCCCCCGTTGGGTCACTGTTCTGGGATGGGGGAAGCCGGCAGAGACAGGCTTTTGGGGAAGGGAGAAAGGGGCTCGGCTGGCCAGGCTGGGCCTCTTCCAGCTCCCCTGGAGCAGTGCCAGGCAGTAGGCGGACAAGCCTGAGTCCGACTCCTGTGCTGCCGGCTGCTATATATATAGAGAGTTATATCTCTCTGCATAACAAGGGTATTTTTCCGAGCAGACGCGCTGGGACATGGAGGAAGGCTGGGGCTCCAAAGGCGGGCAGTTTCCAGCCATCCTCTCCCTGCCCTCTTGCCCAAAAGTGCTCCCTTTCTTCCTCCAAACCCCCAAAATTGAGGTGCCAAGAGCCTGTGGGGCTTCAAGGGGTATCCAGAGAGGGGTGTGGGAGGGGGGTCCCCGCGCTGCCTCCCCCCATCCTTGGGACTCCCTGCTCGCCCTCTTTCTCTCCTGGCTCCCCTGCAGTCTGTCTCCCCTCTCCTTGCTCCCGCTTTCCTTCCTCCCGGTTTCCTGTTGCATTCCTGCCTTCTTCTTGCTTTCTTTTTCGTCATCCTCCCTTGTCTCCATCGCCTTGCCACCCCTCATGCTTCTCCCCTCTCCAACCACCCTCTCCACCCTTTTCCTTCTGCTCCCGAACCGCCCTCTGCCCCCACCCCCCCCACCCCCCCCCCCCCGCCCCCAGCTCTACAAACTGAGGAATCAAAACTTTCAGGATTTACCTCTTCTGAACCAGGGTTATTTTTTTTTTTCCCCGTCCTCCGGCCGAAAAGTTGGGAGACACTCCCCGTGGGCCCCCGTAACTTGCTCCGAGGGTTACCGGCGGTACGTCCCAGGGCAGAGGGGGGCAGAAAGAGGAGGCATGCCGCCCTCCCTTTCCTCACCGCTGTCCCCCCCAAGGCTGGCTCTCCCGGGCTGACGCCCCGATGCCACTGGAGAGAGGGAGCGAAGCTGGCGGGGAGGGGACGTGGGAAGGAGGAGGGCGGGCTGCAGCACTGCCGAGCCAATCCTCGCCTCAGCAAAGAGACCAGAGAAAATGAGATTTATTCCAACTATCCAGGAGAGAAAACTTCAGGAACTTCTCTGCGGCTCCCCCCCCCCCCCCCCCCCCCCCCCTCCTCCCCACTTCCCCAGTTCCATTTCCCGTCCTCCGGCATCGGCTGCCTCCTGCTCCTGGGTACTCGCTTCAATGGATTTGGGGGAAGGGGAAAGCTCAGGTTGCTGGCTAACCTGGTTAGGGGAGCCCGGCCGGGGGTAAAAGGCAAGGAGTTTGTCCCCTGTGTGTGTGTGTGTGAAGCCTCGAGTATCAGGTAGGGTCATCCCATCCCATGTTGGATGGGAAGTCCCCGGTGCCCACCACGTAGTGCTGCCAACCAGGAGTGGGCTCTGGAGGGTGGGTGGTCATGCCAGGACCTGTGGGTAGTGTTAGGTTGAGCATTAGCAGTATTACAGCCTCCCCAAAGGCTGTGTGGGTCAGGTCAGTGTTTGTTACAGGGTCAGGACAAGCGTTACGTGGTTAGGACAAGCGTCACGGGGTCGGGACAAGGGTCATATCGGTGGCAGCACGTCAGATCAGGGTGAGGGGGTGGCAGTGGGTAAATTCAAGGAGGTGCTTTTGGTGGCAACCAGGGAGGGTTTCTGCCCACGCGTGGGACACCATATCCCTCTGGCATCACGCTTCATTGATCTGTCATTGACCCTATCAGTGTCAGAGGGGCAACCTGCTGGTGGGCATGGCATCACCAGTGCCACTGGTGACCGTGATGGCCTCCGGGTGAGTCTCGGTGGCCCTGCTGGGGAGCGCTTGGCCAGGCACAAGCACCTATTCAGGGCCCTGTGGAGGAGAAGGGAGGTGTCTCTGCTGGCGAAGGCAAGACAAGACTTGTTGGGGTTAAGCAGGGCCTGGCTGAAGGGATGACAAGATGTCTGCAGAGGAGATGTCAAAATGGAGCCTGGCCTCTCGCCGGGCTCAGGTGGCTCGTGCTGGAGTGCCCAGGCAGGGTCACCTTATTGCTCAGAGGTTTTGCTAAGCAGCAGTAGGGTTTTGGCACTGTTCTCAGCCTCTCCCCCGCAGGCTTCTCCTCTGTGAGACGCGGTAGTTGGGGTTTCTGCCTTTGGTGCACGTCTTCTCCGTTAGGAATTAAGAGCACGTGGACTGCGCATTTTGATGGTACTTCTGAGCGGGTTTATGTCTTGCAGGGAGAATGGGAGCTTAGGTTTGAGTGGGGGGAAGCTGCTCCACCAGGGCAAAAGGATGAGAAATCGTGACCTGCACCCTCCCTGTTTGCCAGGGTTGTGGCAGGCATCTCTTCCCCTACGTCCTGCTCAGAGGAAGCCAATGGGGGGTGATGGGAGAGGCAGGAAAAACACCTTTCCTCTGGGTTTCCTCCTTCTGCATGGTCTGCCAGGGCATCTGCCCCCCCAGCTTGAGGGGGTCCCCCCTCACTCCCCTCACCCCCAGCCCCGTGCCCTGCAGCGGGGGCTGCGGCAGGGAGCAGAGCCTGGGCGACAGCAGCCGCCTCCGCCGGGGAATGCAGAACAAATCTCTTCCAGATGGGACAGGGGCCACGTTCTGCTCCTTGCCGAGCAGACGGCTCTCCCACTGCCTTCTCCTCCTCCTTGCTCCTGCTCCAAGCATCTCTGTGCTTCGGGTCAGGATGGGCTCCATTTCCAGGAAAGCAGCTGGAAATCCCCCCTCTTCAGCAGCCCTCCCCAAACCTTGTGGTTTTGTGGCCATGCCAGCCGGGCTGTGACTTTTGTCCTTCTGGGGCTGGCGCTGAAGTGCTTCGGAGACCTCCAGGCTCCTCCAGGACTCAGTACCCATCCTGGCCTCTGGCTGCCTCAGTACTAGCAGAGGTGGTGCGGCCGCTCCGAATGTACCCTAGCAGGGCTTGCACCCTCCCGAGACCCCCTTCTTTCATATACAGCTGCCTGGAAAATGAATTTATACAATTCTGCCTCCCAGCCTGTTTATCCACTTCAGCTGATAAATGAGAGGAGGCTGTGGGGCTGGACAGAGCTGCATGCAGAGCCACTGTACCACCCTTGGGTGCCCCGGGTAGGAGCTAATGCCTGGCCCTCCCCCAACCTGTCTCATTTACCTTCGGTCACCCCAACATTTCATCCCGTCTGTAACCCCCTGCCCCAGGCAGCAGTACCAGTCTCATCACTACAGAGAGACCGGCCATCAGGCTTATCATGGGAGCAGACAAGTGGCCCCGCAGCTTTCCTGGCTGAGGATTTGCTTTGATTCCTACGACATCAAAGGCGGGGCTGTGCAAATTGCATCCGCTCTTCTTCCCAGTGCTCATCCCTCCGGCATGGGGCTGAGGTCTTATGGGTGGCTGGGTGCGATGGGGATGGAGAGAGGGATGGAGGGATGCTGGGGGGGTCTGAGGTCTCTGTACCCCACCTCCAGGTGATCAGTTCTTCCTTCCATCTTGCTTTGCAGCCCCTGATGCTCACTGAGCTGATGCTCGAGGGAGGCTGCTGATGCAGGACTCCCCTCTGGAGAAGAAAAATCCCCCTTCTCTCTTTCCCCAGTGCCTGGGGGGGAGCTGAGGGAAGGTGATGGGAGCATCCCAGCTTGTGGACAGGGCACTTGCCCCTGCTTTTCTACCTCCTGGCATTTCTGTTTGCTGCCTTCTCGCCTGCCCTCCTTCCCTGGGTTATTTCCAGGAATGGGGCTCTGAGAGTGCTGCCACACTCCTGCAGTCCCATCCCTGGAAATTTCCCGTGGAAGGAGAACAGGCGGGGGGCTGGATGGGAAGGGGGTGCCTCGCTCAGTGCACAAGAAGCAGATATCCTGTTGCTGCCCAGGGTCTCCGGCTCATATTTCCTCATTAACTGGGAGCAATGCTTGTTTGCGGGTGACTTCCAGATGTTTCCATTCTCCTCATAGCAGCTGCAAGGACACATACCCCATGGGTATGGGAATTACTGCTGGCAGTGGGGTGGGGGGACAGTCCCCTGCCATGATGGGAAGGGAAGTCCATAGGGCCCCCTGCCCCACCGTGCATCCCGGTGTGGCCTCATCCAGCTCCCCCTCACCCTGGTGCTGTCAGGTCCCTCCTCCCTGTTCCCAGCCCGTGGCCCTCGGTGCCACCTCCAGCCTGTGTCTCGCTGCCCTGGGGATGAGCCAGAGGCAGAGCCAGTTTTAGGGTGAGCAATCTGGGGTGGTGGCGGGAGGTGACACCCTGGGGCGAGGGATAGGTGTTGAGGCACCCAGCGTCTTGCCCAGAGCATCCCTGGTCTGATGCCAGCGCTGGCTTTGTGGGCACTGGATCCCTCATGCCCGGTAGTTTGTTTACTGGGATGATTTCTCCTCTGGCAGCACCCCCAGGGATGTGCTAGGCCAGGCTCAGCTCATTTTTGGGGCTGTGCTGTGAGTCCCTCGCTCTGGGCCCGTAGCTGTTGTAGTAACTGGGGAGAGGGATCAGACTGATGCAGTTCCTGGCATCCCTGTGCTGCCCCGGGGAAGGAAAGCGGGTGGCTTGTGTTGAGCACCACCAGGCAGTCAGCAGCACTGGGTTAGACCCACTCATGCTAGAAGAGGGTGGATCGACCTCTGTAAAAGCCCATTTATAATTTCCCTCCCTGACTCCTCCAGCTCCCTTCCCCTAGAGCAGTGGGAGGTCGAAGGAATGGGATTGACCATGTCCTGCTTGTGGGGTTTGCAAAGGCGAGGGGTGGTGTGGTGCGCTTTTCTCCCGGGGGCTGGGCTGGGAACTCAAAGCCTCGGGGCTTGCCAAAGCCCAGGAGGAGGTAGGGATGAGTTCCCAGGCTTGCTGGCGGGCTGCCTCCCTCCCTCTGCCCATCTCCTCCTATCCCAAATGTTTTCATCCTTCTTCCTCCTCCCACCCTCCCCAGCTTCCGCCTCATACGCTATTCTTGTTCGCTGGCTAGGGATGTGGGGTGCTGTAGGGGTGTTGGGGGGTGTTGTGGGAGGGAGGATGGAGGGACAGACCCTGGGACAGACCCCAATCTGTGCTCTCCCTCTGATTTTCCCCCGGCTGCAGAGGAGAGGGAAGAGAAGGTTTGGGACATGGCTGGGAGGGGAGGGAGGATGTTGCATAAATGAGAAGCAATCCAGGAACAGCTGCCTGTGGCCTGGAAACACCTCTCTGATTCCGGGCACTGGGAAAGGAGATGTAAAAATATATATTTACGTATGTACATTATGTCTCCTCAAACACTTGATTCTCCGGTTCCTTTTCATAGGCCTTACGGAGGTGCAGGAGGGACTCAGGGGGCTCAGATATCAATTTTCTGCGCGGAGAAGCAGCTCTCTGTGTGTAGGGGCATCTGGGGGTCCATTTGCCTTCCCCCAAATATGTTCCCTCAGCAGGATAAGGAGGGGGAGCATATCTGCAAGAGTTTAAGGCCTGTGCAGGCTGGAGGGAGCTGGGACGGAGGTTGCTGGCGTGAGGAAAGAAAGGGGGACATGGTGAGGGTAGGAGGAATGCAGCGGGGGGAAGGGGGAGGGTGCAGTGGGAACGGGCGGTAAGAAGCAGGAAACTGGGGGGGTATCTGGGGGCAAAGAGCCTTTTGGAGGTGAAATGCATGAGGAGGTGGGGGGAAGGTGCTGTGGGGAAAGGGGGAGCTGGGGCATCTCAAGAGAAGGGAGTAGGTCCCCAGGGTTGGCATGGCATGGGAGAGGGGACCATCAAGGGATAGGGGATGCATCCATGGAGCAGACGGGGAGTGGGGTGCAGGGATAAAGAAGGGTACCATGTGCGGAGAGAGGATGTGGGGATATAGGGAATAAGGGATGGGGATGAAGAGAGAAGCCATCCACAGTAGAGGAGAGAGAGCCTGCGTGAGGAACCTGCCCTGGGCAAAAGGAAGAGGTGAAAGCCAGGGAGTGGTTGGACACAAGGCCTGGACAACTCTTTTATCTTAATGATTTTGCCTGTCCATCCAGCCTGTGTATTTTTGGCCCACGGAAGGAACGGGGTGGGGATGCAGAGGCAGCTAAAAATAGGGGTGTC